GATCCCTTGTGCTTTGCCCAATTAGCAACAGGTTTCCACAACCCACCATCAATTGTATATAGCAACTCGAAATACAACTAGTCAAAGGACTTTCCCGCTATCCCCGGGTCCAATGCCTGGAGAAGGTCGCCATCTCCTTCTGTGTCTGCCTCGTAGTTTCCATCTTCACCGAGGGTTTCCTCTATGATACCTCTTCCCACATTTCCACCTCCGCCAAGAGACTCGAGCCCGCTCGGCTCGTGCACAACACTAACCCCGAGCTGTATGGAAATTCCCACAGGGTATTCTGATACTTAAAGCATTGATTTTCAGTATTCAGAATTCTATGACTTGTTTACCTGGGTATAACTAGAGTTTAAATTGGGTTTAGGTGAAATGATGATTGTAGGGTTAGTTTGGAGTTTGTGGGAAAGGCTTTGCTGGAATCGAGAGAGGATCTTCTCATCTATTTGCCTTGTCCTTGACAACACAATCAAACAAAACACACAACACAAGACCACAATTCTTCAGAAACTAAGAGACCAATTGCTACAAACATGACACAATTTTCTTTCTTTTATTTTTATTCCTCCAATTCAACCTACTCAGTTGGCAAAGTTTAGCTAAACTATCCTCTGTTTGCTCTATTTCTACCAGCCAATTATTTATCTCTTGGTATCACATCTAAGCTTCCCAGTTCCACAGCCCACACTCTACTGCTCAACACGCTACATCTTTAATAACAACAGCGATGGCCATGAGTGTCAATTAGTTAGTTTGGATTTGTCAATCTTCAACTATATACGAAGCAACAATTTCTCAATCTGACAAATTATAAAACATGCTACGTCTTTTCCAACCCTTGCCGGCATCCCACCAGTGTCAACATTGAAGGGATGTTGCTAGTGTTGAAGTCGGTCGAGCCCAGCTCGCCTGCCAGGGCGTGGCAAAGCTCGTCTGCTTGCAATAGCCGCTCAGCATGACTAATCCACATCAAAGCTACCACCCAGAGTCCCGATTTACCCCCCATCCTGCGTCTTTACGCGTTCTACCGTCGTACCATACGCATCTCCCATCTCCAATCCATCTACCATGGCGCTGAGCATCTCTCGTCTCCCATAGATTGCTGACTCTTGCAAGATTACGACAATATTCAAGGAAACCAGTATAAACCTGGGTTTACCCATCAACGGACAATCGCGGGTGGGATTTCCAGTGTCATTGCCCCCACGTACATTTCCGATATATTCCCGGGGATCCTCCCCAGAATGCCCACCTCCGGGCCATCATCTATGGCATCAGGAGTTACGTCCTCGCTCGGTCTAGCGTGAAGGTATTGAATAATATGATCTTTGCTGGGACATGCTAGTACGCCTATCACCCGTCCAGTAAGCCCTCTTTTCATCTCGGGCCGAATATAGGGTCTCCCAATCACGAATATTCGTTTGTCAGCGGACCTCCAGAGGATGTCTTTCAGGGAATCAGGGAGCTCGGTTCTGTGAAAAGCCCCACATTCGTCCATAGCGTCAAGGCGCATAAATATGCACCATGAGGACATGGTGGTCTGTATCAAATTGACGATATCAGGAAAGTTGCGGTCCCTGTCTGTCATTGCAATGTTTCCGAGCCCCGAAGGCCAGATAGAAGCCGGATTAGCGCCACTCAATACGGGATACCAGAATAGTACGCGTCGCGACATTGGCAACAAAGAGCGTACCCAAGCCACTTGCGGGGCAGCTACTCAATAATCATAACCGAGTTCATTGCTGATCGTTATAAAAGTATCAATACCAACTCTTTTAGCGCCCACACTGGTGGTTCTTCTTCATCGAGGTTGAAGAGGAGGGATCAACGGGCCCACAGCGCCCTACGGCCCTAAACCAAGGTGAATTTGAGGAGGGGAAGGGAAAGTCGGATGGATGTGGTTATTTTTCTTCCCCCTTCTTGGTCTGACATGATATCAATTACATAGCAACCAATGTAACGTTTTGATACTAACATGGTAGATTGTAGTATGAATCAGGTTGGTGGTCTAGTCAGCATGGGTATGGTTGGGCTACCATTATCTATTCTACCAAGCCTGAATTTCGCGCCCGGTAGCCGTGCAGTCGTCTTTAAATAGTCGTCCCCACCGGGTGATATATCATGAACCAGCTTGCGTATAGTATGCTTGAGCTTGATTAAAGCTAGGTTGCTGCTATGTGGGGCGGGAATATTCCATGGGTGATTGCGGCCTCCGGGCTGGCTCGCCTATTGGTAAACACTACTTTTGATGTGGGTTTCTTCTTTGCCAGATTTACATTAAGCAGGGGTGTATCTTAGAGGATTCTAGTGGATGATGGCCGATCACCCGAGTAATTTTGTGGTGGCGCCGTATCGTACTCGAGTAGTAGGTGGACAGCAGTGTTTTGCTGTGTCGATGATGATCGGAAAGCAGGATCACCAGGTACTTGATTTATTGGACATTCTATCATTGCGAGAATGTGTCTGCCGATCTTTGGGTATATTAAGTAACTTAGAACTTTGCCCAGAAGGTTCAAGCGAGCTACCATGTTGGCCTTCCTAGGTTTCACCTACTCGTAAGCGCTGATTATGGCACTTGTAATAGCTGAAGATGTGGAGAGTGACAAAGCCTTTTTATTTTTTTGTACACTTTGTTCGACCCGGGAGACATGGAAGAAATATCAGCGCATGATGTGTATGTCAAGGTGGAATATCAGATGATATTAATGCTAACACACTGAAGACAAAGCATGCAAGTATATCCCTAATCAACCACCAAAGAGAGAAGAAAGAGTAGGAAGGAAACTACTCGATCGAACATATTTGGCGTATCATCTCCTCCGGACCCTGCATAGTGCATTACCCTCAGTTATACCCGCTCACACCTAGCACAACCTCTCTGACACGATACGTGAGCCCGAGTGGTGTATGATGCCCTATGGCTGACGGCCAATTTCTGCTCGAGTACCGGTATGGAAACGCCATCTACCTGCGCCGGCACAGCATTTCACGCTCCACCTGTGCCCCACTCATGGCAAAGTTAATCCGCCGGCGAAAATTTTCTCATTAGGAGCTTAGCGATCCGGTACTCGATATTAGCATAACCCGGATGAGCGAGCAGGCATAAATGTGCACCCGGCAGCAATAGCTGGCAGCGAGAACACAAGCGAGGAAGAAACAAGGACCAACCCCAGACACACATGCCTGTGGCGAAGATGTGCTCGGATTTCCCTGCCGTGCCAGGACGATGTAGGATGCAGGGAATGAAGATGATAGGTTCTACGGGAAATTAGATTGGAGTTGGGCACTGAGGGAGATTTGGCTCCTTCCATTGGTAAGGCGAGAGGTATGATACTTGTATCATAACGTAGCCTGATTGATGGAAATGATAACGGGAATGCCGCGGTAGGTCGGGGACATGTCCCGGACCCTATGATTATTTACCTTCCCATCCTTCCATCTCGGTGAGAAAGCACTTGCAGAATCAGTCAAGGACCAATCGCTACCCACCCTAAGTTACCGTATCATACTCATACCCGAGTAACGGTACGGGACTCATCAAACCTGAACCCAACCCCATGACCACGAGCAAACCCTATCGACGAACCATCCAACCCCGTGACTGAGGTCTTGGGAAACCAAGAGGTTCGGCTATGACTCCGATAATGAACGAGGGGCCGCATGCATGAGGTATCACTCGTGTTGGTAATTGGCGATGATTTGGGTTGGGTGAGTCAGGTTAGACATGATCGGGGCCCAGAAGCCACGTGGAAGTGGTCGGTGAGGGCGGGGGGGTGGAGATGTGAAAGTGCCGATGTGTACGATACCATGATTCGCCATCTTCGGGGGGGGGTCCAATTTCCTGGTTTCAGAGACAAAAACCTTCCTGAGAGAGATTAGCGTTTTTTCCTAAAACGATACCCCGTCGAATTATTAGGTAGCGCCTTGGCAGATTTTAATCTCCTTTTTCCCGCAAGGGATGTTAACGCTAACTGGAACTCCCACGGTACTATAACCGGTGGCTTCTTAGAAGGTGTTGAAACAGCGATCTTCCCATTCCTCTTCCGTCGGTTCCACCGGTAAGGCACGGTATGCTTTCTGGGGAGAGCGTTCTGTACCGTCTCAAATCGGTGATTAGAACCCTCCACCGAGGGCTACAAGTGCTCAATTCCACGGGTCAAACACGGCACGGTGGATGGAAACTTTTGTGTTGACCAAGTATCGTACGGGTGCTATGATACCTCGGTATTCCTACCCAGCTATGTACCCTACCTGCACCATGCAGTACCGTCCCACGGTATGATAAGACATTACCCACACGGCCTAGAGTCTACTACTGTATACACATCTGCGAGCCATGATACTTTGCCAGCAAGCTCGTCCCAGAAACACCCTCCCGGGGCACGGCACTATTTTTTATTTTTTTTAAACCATCTCGGAAGTCCAGTCTAGGAAAAAGAATGACATCCCTCTTGAACGTACCATACGCCGTTGGGTCTCATCATCGTCACCTGGCATTTGCAATTCCGTTGAACCCATAAAAAACTGGAATGAATCGGGGTTTATGCCTCTTTTATTTTATATCGCTGGTATGATACAAGAATTGAGATAAGTAGCTTAGAGCGTCGCAATGCGGTAGCCAACCCATACCAGAGTATAGGATGACGATACACGCACAGTGCTACTATTCTGTAGACTGTCGAGCATGGCGCCGTATCCTAGAGGGGGGAGGGTGGATGAGAGAATTAATATTACACACATATATTTACAGTACGCACTTGAAGCTCATAGACCCGTTTACGTGTGATAGTTTATACGCTATATAAAGGGCTGTGCCTGGGTCGCTGGAATATGCCCAACTGCTATACGAGACGGGGAGGGGATGTTGGGCGGGCATGTCATGTCATGTTGTTGTCGGTGCTCTCATAAACTATCACTCGGTTTTAGACTTCAGGTTTGCACCCTCCGCTTCCTGTTTGTCCGGGAAATGTCTGGTACGGGCTGTGGGTACTTCTGCGTTAGGCTCAGAATGACTCCATTGCTCTAGGGATACAAACAGTTTCCGGACCGTAATAACTCCACCCGAACCCGACCCAGACCCCGTCGTTGACAGCAGGAGGGAACTCAGGTATGATATATATTTAGTACACTCCACCGCCCACTCACCCGCTCACTTCAAAAACCGAAAGCAACTCCCCCACCGTGAAAGAATCAGTAAGGATAATGAAAAACCCACTCACAATTACTCAAAAATCCACACGATATCACTAATTAGCGATAGACGTGCCATGGTTGAATCGACCAGCCTGTTCCACTCCCGGAGAAACGGCGCCGGCGGTAATGTTGGGGCCCACCGTTTTCCCGTACCAGCTCGCTTTCGGCCCTGTCCCGTTCGTGGTGCCGTCTCTCGGGTCTGGTTGTGATGCCGCGCGCCTGGGATCCGGCCTTATCTGTATCGGACTTGATATTCCCCCGCCCTCGAGGCTGGCGATTACTCTGGCGGCTGCGTCCTCTCCGCTCCAGTATGCCCCACTGACACTTCCGAGACCTAGTACCGGAGAAGTGTGCTCTCCGGCGAACCAGAGTTTCCGATCCGCTGCACCGGCTCTTAGACACCTGATGTCCTCCTCACCAGCGTGTAGGCCGACCTGGAAGTTTGAGTAACTTCCATAGCCGGCCCACTTGTCTTGGCTCCATCGTGTTGCCTCAACATCCACTGGCCGGCAGTCTGGGCTGCCCTCACAATAGTTTGGGAGTTTAGAGTAGTACGGTTCAAAGAACTCAAAGTACTGCTTTTTGCCGGCCTTTGTTTGACTGGGTGCAAAATTCTCATTTAAATGCTTGGTAATGGGACCAAAAATGTAGAATAGAAGTGTGGGCTGTGCACAGGGTTTTGGTAATCCAGCAAGCGAGAAACACGCCATATGCCAGCGACTAGGGTTTACTTTGGGGGCATACTTGGGCGAAAGAAAAGTGAAAAAGTCCTGCCCCGTACCGCTCCAGAAGGGGGCGGAAAACTTGATGTAGACCTAATGTTGTGTGTTAATTTAGCAGATCTTTAGTTTGGAGTATCCAGCCTTAAGGTGGGAGAATCTTGCCTTCTCGAGAGTTCCATAGCTAAGGGAATCTATGCCCTCAAGCATTCGCTTCGGGAGTTTTGGTTGAAAATTGATCATCTCTCTCTTGAGACACCCCAAGGGTATTGTTACGATTACGGCGTCTACCTCACAATTCTCCTCAGGCTTCTGGGAGCTCCTCAACATAACGCAATTCCGATCACCTGGGGCAGGGGTTATGATTTCGTCAATAGGTGTATTCAATCGGACAATACCAGCATCCAGTGAAGGTTTTGACATTGTATCAATCATGGTTTCATAGGTACTTGCGACAAATATGTTTGCTAAAGGGATTCATGTTAGCTACGACCTAGTGAAACACCCGGGAGCAAGCGACCGGAGCACGATGCCGTCTAGCGGTACTTACCGCCTTCTAATGGCTCCTCCAGGAAGAAATATTTTAAACTTTGCCTTTCAACGGGGCTACCAATGAAGGTACCCCACATCTCCGCTAGGGACAACCACAGCTCCTTTTTTCGTTCTTCTTCGCCCTTCCATCGGACGTGATCTTCGGCACCACGCTTCACTCCGCCTTTCCCTCCGCCGTGGTGGAATCCGGCCCTCTCTTTAGCACTCTCGTCTTCAGCGGCTCCAGTTCCAAACAGCTCCTCGGCCTTCTCGACACAATAGTCGTAGAAGGATTTTTCCACGGGGATTGCAGGGTGGCAGTGCTTGGAATACTCGACAGCACGCTCAATGACCTTCCACATCAATTCTGAGAGCTCGTCGGCTTCGGCCTGATCCAAGAGCTTGCCATCGAAACCGTAGGTAGGGCACTGCTCGGAGAAGTGGTGGAGCTTTGAGCCAGAGGACTCGGCTAACGACAAGACAGGGTTGTTGTCTGTGCCATGGATCCAATTCGGACCGCTGCCGACATTTGAGTGCCGTAGCATCAGCTTATGTACCGTAGATGCATAGAAAAAAGAAAAAAGAGACGGAGAACCTACAGATCAACGGCTTCCCCCAAGTGATTGCTCGTAGATATTCGCCCGCCAAGCCGGTCGCGGGCTTCGTACACCACAACTCTATACCCCTTTTGCAACAAAACCTCTGCAGCCCGGAGCCCGGACATCCCACCTCCGATCACAGCAATCGTGGGGGTTTTGCCAACCAAGCTCAACTCCTTGGGTAGCTCGGTGGATATTGGTGGCAAAATATCTACCGTGCCGTCGGTATTTGGGGCCATGGGACTCATGATGGTGGGCGGTGGGAAGGGTGCTGTTTGTGGAGTGGGATTGGTAGCCGATTTTGGTCTCGAGGGTTGTTTAGGAGGAAGCTTCACGGGGGGAGGGAAAAACAGCCCTTAGGACGAGGGTGGAAGCCTGCTCAATAAGGACAGCTTACGATCGATACGGGGAGGGATGCTGGGAATGCCTGACGAGGGCAGAGAGAGCAGACGAGCGCAAAAACAATAGGTCGCCTCCGACTTAGCAAGGCTGTCTTGTAAAGTGCTGGTGAAGACGGGAGCTATAAAGCTTGAGGAGCGATCAAGGCCACGGCGACTAGAAGGATACAAGAAGGGGCGGCAAGGAGTTGGGTGAGAAGAGGGAATAAGAAAGGGGGGAGGGAGGGTGAAAGATCACAAAGTACGGCTCATACCAAGCTATGAGGCCCACCAACAACCAGTGCCGGCAGGGAAAGGTCACATCACCATCTCGCCCACCCCCCCCCCCCTCTCTGGCTCCCTCACTCTCTCGCATCCACTCCAACACCTTCAACTCTCGACCGCTAGCTCACTAATAAGTTACGGGTAGACTAGCGTTTGTGGTGAATCAAGCCCACATCTCCGCAGAAGGGTGCTGAAAATCATTAGCTCAAATCGGCAAGGGCAGTGGATTAGGGGAGACGAATGGCCATGATGGCAGAAATTCGGGTGTACGGTGCGGGTGCATCGGGGGGAGGTGGATAATGTGCCAATCCCCTGGGATAAGGAAAATCAGAGTATTTTTCCGACAAGTGATGGGATTCGTCTCCCACTTCAGGCGGGTGTAGACTACAGGTACATGTACAGTAGGTAGAGTGTATATTGTGTTGTGCTTATTCTGCGGTAGAAATCACGGCAACTGGGTGGTGTTCTCGAGGAGAAGGCCGAGTATTCGCGGTACTATGATCTGGCCGGTAGGTTAAATCATGTATTTCTCATACGATACGGCGGTATACTTGAAGACAAGGGTCGGCTTCGATAAGGTGTCGTAGAGAAGCCCAACAAAAATATTGGAAACACACACATGGGTTTGTCATGGCGCTTTCTCCCTTCCCCTACCTAATCCATCGCAGGAACCACTCTGTCCCAACAGCCGTGTCAATAGCCACCGGGGTCGAATATTGTTCGCGCATGGAGCATTTCATCCATTCACCCCCCTCCATCATCTCCTTATCGTCAAGCATTCCTGTCTTATCGTGGGATACCGGTATCGTGTACGGAATCCTCGATAGTGAAATCGCTGGCCAAGCCTGAGAAGCAAAAGCAAAAACCCCAACCCAAACAGGAGCACGGACCAATTTACCAGCCACAGAGTGTGGCTTGAGGACACCATCACATCTTCGCCCCCAGGTTGCGCGTGGGCCCTGTCTCGGTGGTTATCATACCGGCAGATGCTCCCTTCTAGGTCAAAGAGAGTCTTTTCGAAGCCAATTGATGTCAGCAGGGGAAGACAGTATCACGCCTCCCTAACCGGAACGACATTTACGGGTAGTTTGTAATTTCGTCCCATCTTTCAGCGCGAAGGGTATTGGTATCGGGTGAGCATCTTCTAGACGGAAGGTTGCAGACAATCGATTGACCAACCGTGAGAGTCGCTGGGTGTATCAGCGAATGGTGTTCAGGCGGGCCACGGCGTCGGCACTATGTGGTACTGCGTGCTATATTCCCCATTCCCGGGTGATCACAGACGTTGGATGGATGCTGTGGGTTTAACTCAAGGATTGCTGCACCATTCCCTTCTTCATGAAGGTTTGTGAGATCCTTTGGTGGGGCCTGCGCGAGTGCCGGTTCGCAGGATTACCGGTATCCGGGATGGTTGTTGTAATATTGGCTCACGGAAGGTTGGACTACCGGTATTGTGCGGTAAACTCGCCTGAATTCGAGACTGGTCATTATTTGGGTAGTAGAGGGCATCATTAACTTAGATTTCATGTACAGTACCAGTACTTAATACCACCAACAATCCTGAAGCTGAGGTACGATACCACACTTACGTACCATTTGCGGTTAGATGACGGGCAGTGTTGCTCGTCGTGTGTGATGGGCAAGTGACACAGTCGGCTCACTGACCGAGAGGGTCATGATATAAAAACCCCTCCTATCGTGCACACTCGGGCACTCGAGGACAGTATCATATACCGGTATCATAACTCGACTCAGCTTCCGGGTAACCCGCAGAAACAAATCATTTCCAACCTTTTTCTTCCATCCGTCTACAGACCGGCCGCTGGAGAGTGTATCATCGTGGGAGTCGCTGGGGCTGGGGATGCCCAAGGATCTTTTCAATTGTGCACCGGGGGACGGCATCTGATTGATCCCACCTAAACAAACGAGCAATTGGCTTGAGGCACGCATAAAGGGTCGCGGTCGCGTGTTTCGCGCTGCTACGAACCCCTACTCCCTACTGAAGTTAAGTATAATACCACTCTGCAAGCTTACGGTAGTGCACCAACACAGAAATCTGGACCAAACACCAATTCATGACGGACAGACATCACACCAAACTTTGAATCCCTCCATTCATGTAACAACACTGATCTACGGCCCCGAGCCTATCATTCGCCTAAACCCGGCATACCTACGATAAATTTCGCAGCTTTGGTAGTGTTCGGTTGGTTCGGGCTGCTCATCCAGATATGATACATTAGGTATTTGCAAAAAAATAAAAATAAAGTAAAATAAAAATAAAAATAAAGATAAAAATAAAAATAAAAATAAAAATTGTAAGTGCATATTGAAATACTGGGGTCACTGATCTCAGCTGGGCATCGTAGACTCTCCCACTTTGTTTCGTTATTCGAACACTGCAAACATCCAGAGAATACATTTTTATCGACACGGTGCCCCCATTCCCGATCCTTACATTTCCTCCCCCACAGTGGAAGCCGTGGGATAGAGAACCCGACACTACTCGAGTACTATACCTTTGAGGTACATGTGCAAAGTCTGAAGCGAGTAAGTGCACTTGAAGAAAGGGCCTTGTCGGAACCACTCCAACCTGATCCTTTCCCTAGAGTGCTCGTAAGCCGTGTAGGCAACCCTTTTCACCTTTTCCCTGACTATCGAACTTGTCTCTGGCAACCACAGGCCACTCACGAAATCGTGCACGTGCACCAAATTCATCAATCACAGAAATCACTCCCACTCCACGCCGTGGCACAGGCAGTGAAGCTTTGGGTGTTTGCAGCGATATCCTATCTTTGCGATGAGATTGGTAGAAGACTATCACGATGGGGGAGAAAACCCTCTTTGGGTTCCACGTTCTGGATTTCCAGGGTGTTACATGAGCGTTCCCGAGAAGATCGTGTCTAGAATAATATTCTTCCTTCCCGACTCTCCCCCCTTTCCGGACTCCAGTACTGTGATTGACAAACCTACTCTCTTCCACCTCTCCCATACGAATCGCTGGTTTCGTGGCTTGCTTCGGAATGACGTCTTGTCCAGGGTTTCCGTCAATTCCCCCAAGTCTTTGTACGAGCTGGTCAATCACCTGTCTACGTTTTCTTGGCGAGGCCAGGAGAGAGCGATACGCTCTCTAACACTCCGCTGGAGCCAATCGGTTCCTTTCCTTGGTTCCCTAATCGAAACCACCACCCTTGATCGACGTGAAAAGGCGAATTGTGTCACGACAGATCTGCAATGCCTTCTTTGGAAGTATACGGATGGCTTGCAGGAAATATATCTTGACTTTCCGGGAGCAATGGCATGTTTTGAAGATGCTGTGCTCTCTCTATCGTCTCCACTAAAGAGGAGAGCTCTGAAACACATTACTATACGAAACGGGAATAACCCTATATTCCCTAACGCACGCTTTTTGCTGTGCGGTATTTCATATCTCGCAAGCGATACATTACAGGTCCTCAGGATAGATGGCAGTTCCCCTGTGATGGAAGGGCCTTGGGCAAGCAACAAACCGGGCCTCACTTTCCGAATACCCGACGATAATTCCTTTATCAGATACAAAATTTTGTCAAAGCTCAAGCATATAGAAGTCAGGAATCTGGCTGGCTTCGAAGATCCACATCTCGTGTGGCTCTGCAGTAGCAGGGATCTTCGTCCACGGCGACGAGTTTGGAGCAAGATTCATCGGGGACACACCCTTGTCCTCGATTCCAACCCACATCTGACGCAAACTGGAATAGTAACCATATTAAAATTGATTGGCGACGGACTCGAAACGCTAAACTTAACACATCTGGTCCTGGAGAAAATGCCAGGGCATACTCCTCCGGTGAAGAATAACCTATGGCGTCCCTCTTGTTGGCCAATACCCCCAACAGCCTTTGCGGACAAGAGCCGAGACACGGAGCGGGTTCAGGAGGAGGAACATTTCTGCGACGTGATCAGGGAGCATTGCAAAGGCTTGAGAAGGCTGGAAATATACACACACTCGGTCTGTAGAAACATATTTTTCCCCACTCCAGACATACTGCCCCCGCCACCATACCGAGAGGGAGAGACCCGATTCGGTGTGGTAAGTCTGCGCTTGCCGAGCAGGGAAGGGGGTGTTGAGTCTTCCCTTTGCAGAGGGACTTCGGAGGCTGGAGGGGTAGGCTTATGTCTTGTAGCGGACGAAGCTGTAGAGAAGGGTGCCGTCGACGAATTTGTCAGAGTTCGGGGCTTCTGGAAGGGTGTTAGTAAATTCAAGCTCAACCGATCTAGAGTGTGCAACCATTAGGTGGATCGGGCATCTAAGCACGCGCCATCACTTGTCTATTGTCTTTGCGGGTGAGTTCCCTTCTACTCGTACTGCTTCGCGTGAACACGTGCTTAGTGCGGGGATAGACAACTCGGCACGAAGGATATCATCATCCTACTTTTTTTCGCTTTATCGGATCTGTCGGTCTACCGCTTTTCCTCGTTCGCTAGCCTCTTCCGGCACCATACTAATGAGGGGTTGGGCATACCGCCCTTTCTATTATACTCTACTTTACTCGTCTTCTATCTAGATGGTAGTTTGACTTCGATCTTTTAGTTTTCAGTTCTCTCCGACTTCGCTTTATGTCTGGCTTTTGCAATATTTTATTTCTCATTTTCGATTCTTTTGGGTGGGGGTGACTGCAGCTCGACCTGCTGCATTAGACATATTTGATTTCACTCCCCGGTGCCTCCATTGATCGGGGGTAAGTGAGTGCTATGGCTGCGGATTGAATTATATATATTTTGGAAAAGCCGAGGGCCGGTCGCTATGATATCAATGGATTCTGTTTGCAATTGCATAGAAGAAGTGACACCAGGTCAGAAAATGCCCTCCGGAACCTTCATATGCTATACCCCTGTATTGTACCCGTATACAGTGCTACACATCAATACACCTTTCCTCCTCGACAATGCCACAAGTAAAAGATATTTGAGAAGTGCTTTGTTCGTGACCAAAAGTGCTGTGCGCGCATTACTCCACCAACCACCCGTCCCACCTCCGAATGAATACTGGCGGAAAAGTCCCAGGATAATTGCTACAGTGATGATCCCTTCGTCCACGCTTAACGCCTTTTCAGTCCTCTAGTATATCCCGAGATCATAACACTTTTGGCACGAGTACAGCAGGAACGATATGATTAAGGAGCTAACCTAGTCCATCAAAACGCGCTAAAAACCTGCGAGAGTCGCAGACAGATTAAGGGATAGGACAAGTTACCGTACGTGTACTGTACAGTACACCATGTTATAAAATAAGTCATCACCCAAACCAATGGTAAAAGCAAAAGCAACCCCTTGCCCAGTCAGTAAATTTACACCCCCTCCGCCAGAAGGAAAGGAAAGAGAGAAGCAATCAATTGCTCCTCTCCGGGTGCTGACTGCCACAAGCTAACTAGCCGGCCAGCCAGGTACGATTACGATATTGTCATCCGTGATCACCCATCATTCATTCGTATCCGACTCACCCCTTCATCTGTCATATATCCCACAGTCCACCCTTTCCAGACCACAGCAGTCCCTTTCAACTCGCTACGATACCAATTCCGTCGCAGCAATATATAGCTTAGACTACGATAAGATACGGTAGTCTCATATGTCCCCCAAAGTTTTGTCAAATATCCCCCAAATGCGACCGCACCCTCAGACGCCAAAGTGAATCGATCACGTAACTTTTTGTTTCTGAGCAAGCGATAAAAATTAGTCGATATTATGAAACAAATAGAGAGAGCATTTTTACTGTTGGCGTAGTCTACGGTAATGGCTCATCGGGTGCAACACCCAAGTATGCAATTAACTGCCATCAACGTGAATGAATACAACTGTTCTCCTGTTCCAAATTACTTGCTCGTAATTTGAGGTGCGACATACTGTATAATTGACATTGTAATTAAAAAGTACCATAACTTGCCAGATTCTTATACACGTTTTCTCATCCTCCTATCCCATTCTATTTTACTCACCTTCTCTTATTTTTCAGCATATATCTGTTTTACATTTTCAAATAATTTTTTTAATTGTTTAAAAAAGAAAACTTATATTAATTTTGGAATCTGAGGGTGCCGTGGCATTTGAGGGACATTTGACAAACTCGAGGGGCATATGAGACCTTTACCGTACTCGTGCAGCATATGCCCCTTCCTCATGACTTGTCACTCTTATTCTCTTCCTCTCCGGGTTTTCTCACACGCGATGCCGTTTGATCTCACAAGTTTACCCACGGACGGGCTGACAGACAGAACTGTCCCTTATCAAAGTTTGCGGTGTGAATGTCTTCATTTTGCTCGCTAGGCTCGATGGCGAGGAGGAAGGATAGAGCACTACTATAGTATAGCTGCCTATTTCAATCAGGGGGGGATCTGTCTCTCCAACATTCGGTTATCGCAGGTTACTGGTTCCACTGTTAGCGAAGTAACTTGGCCCTTGGACCCGATAACTACCGTACTGATGCGAAAGTTCAGATCTCGTCATCCACGCCCCTCCCTCGAGCCCGGTCACCAACCCCCCAACCAGCATCCACAAGTGAGAGCATGTGAACACCATGTAGACGGGACCCCACCCGTTTCACGGAGAAGTTACCCCGGCAGACGACTTGAACCCGTATGACAAATCGAATGAGTGAAAAAGACGACGGGAGTTTGATACGGTATTGGCTTGCTTGCTTGAACTTATTTTAGTTTGACATGATGGGGAAGTGTGACATTAAGCAACGGACTAAGGGAATACAGAGAGTGATTTTGCCCACGAAAAAGAGAGAAAAGAATTGAGCAATCAAACAGGTTGTTTTCCTTTGCCTTTTCCTTCGACTGGTCCCTCCTCTTCGTCTTCCTCGGCAATATCACTCATTTCCTCGTCGCTGCTGAGGAATTCGTCGTCTTCATCCCAGCCCGAGAACCTCATCTCCTTGGCTTCCTTCACAGGAGCAGCGGCACTACTCCCTTCACCGGTAGCACTATCATCGCCGCCATCCACCTCCACATCACTTCCACTCCCGGAGCTTCCCCCTTCCCCCTCCCCTCCCCCCTCCGCATCCAATCCCCCCATTTCCAACTCCTTCATAACTCTCTCCACCGCCTCCCTAGTCCGAACCCTCTCCTCCTCTGTACTCTCCAACCACTCCAAATCATCGAACCTCGCCGCATTCGCGCGACCGTTCCTCCCGCCCCTCTCAGCCTCCTCGACGATTTTCCTCCACCTCTCCTTCCTAGCCTCCCGCTCCTTCTTCTCCATCTCGGGTCTGATTTCCAAATACGCCGCTAGTGCCTTTGCCTCTTTAACAGTACGCATCCTACGTCCGTCGAGATTCCTACAAGAGTCGTTGTTTTCCTGTTGGCCACGCTTTTTCCGACTTGACATGCGGCCGCCAGCGGCACGAAGTTGAGAGCCGAAACCTCCCTTGCCACCACATAGGGGGGGGTGTAGGCGGAGGGTTAGAAATGATGACGCTGTTAAGGTGGAGAGAGTGGCCGAGGGGGGGTGGTAGTGGGATGAAGTAGGGGTTAGGAGGAGGCGGGAGTGTAGAAGAGTTGGGGGGAGGAGAAGACGGAGGCGGGGGAGGACAGAGGAGATTGGGGCAGAGGCAGGGAGGGTGAGGTTGTATGTTGGGAGGCCAGGGAAAGTGGTTATTATAGTGTTAATGAGCGGCATTTCGGGTTCGGAATCCATCTTATAGGTTTTTTCAGTGGTTTGTTGCTTTTTTTGAGGTTTTCTTCGCAGGTGCAGTAGCCGTTGAAAAGTGTATTGCGACGTTGGCTGTGGTTGTACTAGGACGAGGTGTTGTGCGATGGATAGCGCAGAAGCGAAAAAGGTGGAAGGAGGCACTCGATGTTGTTGACGTCCCTTGTCAGCTCAGCCTCAATAGCATTGTTGGTATCATAGCGAATATCTTGGCGTCACAACAAACCAACCCCGTCATAAATCCTCACTCGGTTGAGTTACTTGAGTACCCGCTGCCCGCAAACACCCGATGCTTCGGGCACCCAGCCCCCCTCTTCCGTCAAAACAATGAAATCCCCAATCCTCCTCAACCAAAAATCTCAATCCCTCAGATTAACCCTCCGAGTACTGCCCTCTTCCCCACCTCCTCGTGTAATAGCTATTTCTTCATCGCATATCAAACTGGCAGTATCAGCCCCACCGCAAGATGGTGCCGCGAACAAAGCTGTGGTGAGGTTTATTTGCGAAGTTTGTTTGCATTGTTCCCGACACGATTCTGAAGGGTTACTGATACCGAGAGAGAGTAGCTATTAGGCTATCCCAAGACCGATGGGCGAATAGTTATAGGAGAGAAGACACGGGAGAAGGTTTTGGAGATTAAAGCCATGGGCATGGATGGGAGTTTGGTAGATCGTGTACGGGAGAAGCTGATGGACTCCATCAAGGGCTAGGTGGTCCATTTTGCGGAGGCCATCACGACAGCTTAGGCACTAGAGTTTAGGAAGTACATATTTGTGCAGAAAATAACCGTCCCTCAACTCCAAGCACACCCTGGCTTTTATTGCAGATAAAACTACTACTTCATGAATAAAGAACCTCAGATATCTACCGGTAGGATACAGACAACCCCCCCCCCATCATAGCCACACAAATACCTATATGGAGACAATCTTGCCAATCCAGATCATTCGCAAAACCCGTGTAAAATAAGATCATTGTTACTCCCAACGCAACCACCATCCCCAATCATAAACTAAAAACCTAACAATCATTAAAACCCAATCCACAAAGCATTTGCCGTTAAGAGGTTACTCTGGCCAAATGAACTTTATCGTGAAGCTAGAAAGGTGAGGAAGGGGGAAAAAAAGCCTCAGAAAAAAGGTTTTACAGCAGAGAAAGAAAACTAAGACAGGGAAACTCATGTCGTGCAATTCGTCAATGATATAGGAAGCGATAACGAGGAAAGGACTCAACACCCCATGCAGCAAGGGAAACGTAAAAAAACACCAGGTCGCAGAGACAACGCAAACACCCAAATTTTCCGATCCGGAAATCTGGGAATGAGCAACTCATACAAATGCTGACTTTACAACGCCTTTCCCGGCGTACCTCCGCTGACGACTCGGCCGCTAACCTTTCTAACACCGCCGGCAGCGACTGTTCCTCGCCTCGGCGAACTTCTAATCTTGGCCCCAATACCACTCCCGCTTCGTTCTCGCCCCGCGGTCTTGTCCGCGCTGGGTGGTGTAACAGTGTGACTCACTGTTGTTGTGGTGGTGGTTGTATATGAGACGCTTCTCTTCCCAGCTGGACTTCGAGATGTGGTCCGGCGGTGCAAACGTAGAAGGTACTCTTCCTCGCTCATTGCTCCTTCAACAACTCCTTCAGGCACTTCGGTACCGGTTGCTGCCGCCTCGATCATCTTGACTGATGACTTTTTTCGTCGAATCGGGGATGCGTTGACATCAACGTTTTCGTCATCCTGATGGATTTCAATCAACTCCTTCTCCTGCTGAGAGCTAACTGTTCTGCGACTACCAGTATTCGGAGGATATCTCGAGCTTGCCTTTCGAGGCTGACCAGGCGTAGGAGCAGGCAGGGCACCAGACGTTGTTTCATTACCATCCATCTCTCCGAGAATGCTACGTCTTGTGTGTTGCGAAGGCGTTCCCGATACCACTCTTTTACCCTTGGTTGGTGTCCTAAGCGAGATAGATTGTGACACTGCCTTCTCCAATGCGGCAGCCATGATAGTATCCTCGAACCACCATTGTCTAAACTCATCCTGGTTGAGATGCAGCCAATGTTGTTGGGGTCCCACAACCATTCCCGGTCTCATGAAACGCATGAAGGCAATAACCTCGTTGGCGGTGAATCCATATCGGTACACTAAGTATGCACCAATCAAACATCCTGTTCTCCCAAGTCCAGCCTTGCAGTGAACCGCAATATTCTTTCCCTGGGCGATAGTTTGATGAGCGAGGTTGATGAATTTCCGAACGAGATTGAGAGGTGGGCAAGTTCCATCATCGAATACCATGTCAATATGCGTTATCCCAAGTGCGGTGAAATACTCGGCGGGGTAGAGGTGGGAATTCAATCGGACTACTAGGCCAATATCGCGGGTGTGAAAGTGTTCCAAGACGTTTCGGAATGGAACCGGGAGGCCAGAGGCGAGGATTTCCTCTTGATTTGTCGGGAGGTGAGGCTGTGGGCGATTCGGTGGGGGGAGTGTGAATTGTGGTGAGGCAAACGCAAGAAAATTAGGGGAGATCCAATTAAAATCTCCCATGTCCACCCGCTCAAACTTTTCATACCTGTTCTCATGTTATTAGCTCATGATCCCCCTTCTCCAAATAGTATGATAAGCATACTCATCCAACCCGAACTCTCTCAAATTTACAATGCCCTTCTCCTTAGCTTTCCAAACACCGTACACTACGTCCTGCACGTTCAACACGAAGTCGGCTTGTGAGTAGCCAGCATCACGGAAGGGCATAAGTGGAGGATCACACTGAGCCAACGGGGACAATGCTAGGTGAGGTGGCCACGACTGCACCAGCACCTATAGAAAATAATCAATACCAACAAACAGGGGGGGGGGGTGCAGAGTAGGGAGATGCAAAAAAGGTAAAGCCTACCATGTAGCAAGCCAGTAAACAACCGGCATTTGCTCTACTTCTTCCATCAGGCCTACTCCAGAATACGACAATTCTCCCCTCATTCACCGGGTCACCAAGGATGTCATGAAGTGTCACAGCAAATCTGTACAAGTGCCCGATGTGAAGCGGACCGAAGTCATGGTGGAAAGCGTTATACAGCAATGAATCGTCAACGGTGAAGTAAACAACCTTCTTGGAGGAGGCACTAATGCCAAGATTCTTGTTCCTCTTGGAAGGCGACCTGGCAGAGGCGTGCGCATTCACCTGGGAAGTGATCTTATAAGGATCCGGGATGGCTGGGGGTGGAAATGGCGTACCGCCAGTGGGTGGAGAGGTGTAGGATGCAAGATAGAGGCGATCTGGAGAAGTTAGATAGGGCTCTCCGGACGAAACGGTTCTCCTCACCTCCAATGTACTCTATAACATTTCCGTAGACAGTCTGGCTGCTGTTGGGGGTCATTGTGCTGATTCCTTTCTTGCGGTGTCAAACGTCAAACGCTACAACGCAGGACCCTAATAGTAGCCGGTCTAGCAGCTGGGCAATACTGCTGTTGTTTTTCTTTGTCGAAACTCGAACCCTCCTAATCAAAACTACAAACCCTTACAGAGAGCGGACGAAGCTATAGCGGAGGAATATGGATAGAGTACAAGGATACGCTTCAGCTTCTTTGGACGAAAGGTAGCAAGCAGAGGCAGTGGCTGCGTTCTTGACGGGAAGGGCGAAGGGTGAAGGTATTTTCGCGGGAAAGGAAGGGGGAAGCAAAGAGGATAGGAAAAATTGGAATAAAGGGTGGCAACGTTGGAGTTTTAGAGGGGAAGGGGGGGGGGTGGAGAGGGTATGAAGAAGGAAACTCACAAGTGCTGGGGGAACCTCCAAGCCATTATAGCAGTGGTGAGCAAGCGTTGTGTTTGTTTTGTTACGGGATCTTGGCGGCTTAATCGGGTAATTTTCAGTATGTCACATAAGGAATTTTGTCAACAAGAAAATGTTGTCATAGCAACCTGCAATTATGTGGGGGCGTATCTGTCGCAGCGATCTGGTTTTCGAGTGGCTGACCCTGGCGACGAACGTCTACAAGTAGCTGCGCTTCCGCTGGGAGATCTTGTTCTGACCAACAAGACGAGCGAAAAGAACCTCCCTCATCTCGTTGTCCCACACAACTGACTACATCGCAGTAGCCCAATTTTGATCCATTCCAAGCACTCAGATATACACAAACATACTGAAACGCCAAAACAAACTGCGGCAATGGCCACCGCGACCATCACTGCTCCTCCTCCCGTAGACCCCGAGTATCCCCATTCGCTGTCAGTTCAAATTCCCTCCGCCAATCCCTCCTATCTACCCCACTAACATGCCACTGCGTTATTGTAGCACCATATCTCTCCCCCTCCCTTCTCATCATCTTGCTGATACAATTCAACGGGCTCTCAGCGTGGACCGGGAGATATCTTCATTCGTCCAAAGAACTTACACCTCCACACCGGATTCTCCAATCCTGCAAATCCACTACAAAGCGACGACCGCACGAATGCTCCGAGTAGCCACGAATGGCATGTTTGAAAGCCTGGGAACCGTACTTAGGGTGTGCGAAGAGTTAGACGTGGACACTCTAGAGAAGGAATTGGGAGAATAGACAATAACAAGTTTTTCTATTCTGGCATTTCATCTGCAAGCACACAAAGCACAAAACTGTACCTGCATTTAGGATGCGTACCGGTAGTTGAAGACAAGACAAGACGTCAAACGCTGCCTCGCCCTGCCCTACCCGCGGTGAAACATCCCCAAAAAGTAAACATCATGATACAATTCGTAAAAACTGCTGTTTTGAAAATGCAGCGTCTAGCAATGTCCAATTTGGTGTGGGACGGCGAGACAGTGGTAATTTCGACTTTGCTTTTCTTCGCCCCCCCCTGTTTGTGCATTTTATCGGGGATGTGTGATGTCCGTCAAAAGGCCTTTATCGCTACTACTCGAGTACTCGAATATAGCCTACCGCAAGTCTGATAGCATGGATACCAGGACCGGAGTAGCACTCGGCGCGCTGCTCAACCTTTTCCCCAACCATTCCAACACAACAACAAACAACCAAAAATAGGCCTCCTGATAATGCGGATACAGCTCAGAGAGATGCCTACGCAGGTACTGTGCAGTGCTGTGCAGAGGGCGCTCACTGTGGGCCTTTGCAGGGGTCTACCTGTTTCCCAAAATACGGTACAGTACTAATAGTACCGGTACTGGTAACAACCGCAGGGGTTGATCGCTTAGCTTAGCGGCAGGGTGATTCGAGTGATCATGCATGCTAGTATTGCGACTTTATAAACTCTTGGGGAGTGAGAGAAAAGTTGGAGAAAACTGCCTTTCATGCCTTGGACATTTCTCACGCTGTTGTGATGGCGGTACTGTATGTCTGTGTTAAGCAGCGGCCACTGTGATTATTTTTGGTTTCGGGATCTGCCGTTGGTTTCTGAGGGCTAGAGCTGCCCCCCCTTCGGAACAAAGCGTTGCCTTTCCCCATTGTATTGTAAGTCCTGCCAGTGACCACGTATGATAATTGCACATTTGTTAAGACATTGCAAGAAAAAAAAAAACAGCAACCCTCATTTCCCCAGAGATCGAGCGGCAATAGCCTCTGGGTGTTGATATGTTATGGACTCGTGATTCGTGTGTCCGGTCTATCATACCCCACCGCGGAAAGGGTTCGCAATCGCAAGAGGTAGACTAGGTTAAAATCAGGCATGGGCACGCAGTATGATATCAAGTCTTGGCTTATTTAGGGGCGACACTTGAACTCACTTTGGATGGAGGGTCTTGCCCGGCCATTCGAGGGAAAGCTTGGGGGCAATGAAGATCAATGGGGATAACAGAATAGGACAATTCTTCTGAGATTATCTAATCGTCGAGTGATAATCAATGATTCGAATATTCGCTTCAGCTTGTTGGAAATCATATCATAGCTGTACTCGTACTCTTACCATAGTCTCAAGTGAGGCTCTGTCACTACTTACATCACCTTGTTCATGAGCTTATCTCCTCGGATGCCATATTCTCCTCTCCTTCTACTCTCTTCTTTCTCTAGCTGGAATCATCGTCTTCTACAATACGATTTCATCTCCTCTTTGTCTCTTCTAACACAGCTCTTGGGATGAAATCCTGATTCTACCCTCCAACTGTCAAGAAACCCCTTCCCTAGCGTTTGCGTTCTCCATTGCTACAGCTTTCACTAAGTCCTCATTCTCCAATCCTCATCATAGCTCTCCTCGCTAGCTTTACCCTCCAAGGTATCGTCACTCATCATTATTTCCCTCCGCCTCCTATACTCCGCCCGAGTCTCCTCCTTGAATCCTAACTCCCGCAAAAACCCTTCCGCTTGTTTTCACTGTCCAAAATCTTTTATAGGAAATCTGTTTCTTCTCGGACGGTATTTGTAGCCCCTCCGTACCTGTAAAAACCCACCCATCCCTACGCACTTCTCCAGAAACATCCTTAATGATTCTCTAAGTGAGAACTGATCGCTCCTCCCAGATTGGGGAAGTAGGGCTGGTGAATTCGTACGCTTTCACAGCTTCCCAGCACATAATGAGGGACAAGGAGAGTGCGTTGTCAACCCAGATTTAAGAAGGAATGAATCGAGAACCCAAACCTGGGCCATGTTTGTTTAGGACAATGCGTTGAACCGGGAGGGCCGGTTCGCAAGGTTGTTCGACGTGTGGGCGTTTGCCAACTTCGACCGAGCAGCACGACGCTCCAAGGATTGAGGAGAGCATGACGGAATGGCCTCCAAGGGTTTTTTTTAGTGTTTTGCCGATTCCGGGAGTAGCTCCCCCAGAAGAATTCTGAGATGAGCTGATACCTTCTGACGATATCTTTCCGAGGTGGACTTTAGCGACATCGCGGCAGATCTTAGGGCTTTTGGAAGTAGTCATCCCCTTCGCGGAGGCCGGGGTGGTGTATCAGTTTACTCGGTCAAGCGGAATATACTCATGGATGGGGTTCGTATAATTTACGGAATTTTGGTATGATACTACGGTACTGAAGGTTTGAGGCTTGGAGGAGATTGTCACTGAAGCGCCTACTATCATAAATGGATCGATAATTTGTTAGCCGGGGCTTCCCCAGCTATGCACGGTGTGGACCCGGGCCCTAAATGGTACTTAGGCGCCGACCCCCCGGATAGCTAATTTTCCGACGGGGCGCGTGTGATATGTTTGGCCTTGTTAAGTTGCCGGCAGCGGAAAAATGAAGTACCGGTATCATACGTTATCCCAAAATCAGTCACAAATCAAGTGCTTACATGATAGACTACATGTTTTCAGGGTCGATACTGTAACCGACCTGGAACTCTGTTTAACCAAATTCCGTCAAAACTTAGGAGCAGTAAGTTACATGGAGCATAAAGAAAATTGAAACTCACTTTAGAAATGGTTATGGAAAAAAATATCTTGAGGTTGACTTTTTGTTGATGAAACAGGGCTTATGCAATGTTACATTTTTTCAACCTCGGCACATTTTTTTCCAAATAATCAGGACATACCTGTAGTTGGCCAACACCATAGAGTAACCCAATGCAGCCTCCCGTGCCTACTCGATATTGGGGAATCTACAACCGTGTCTCGTGCACGAGTATCACCATCTAGCAACCACAACAAAGCGTCATGCGTCATGCGTCACGTGTTTAATTAAAGGCGACACCGAGAATTATGATACTTGGTCCCTAACGGAGGGGTTGTTGTTTAAACACCCTCTTATCCAAGCGGGGCACGGGAGGTGTGCGGACCTGGTGGGTGGATATACGGGTAGCACACACATCTATCATTACCGGCACTGTTACTATCATATCTACAAGTACTGTACTAGTACAGTACAGTACGGGACCTCACCGGTTCAAGCTTCTCTTCCGCTATTTTCCTGACCCCGCTTTTCACCTTCCTGTTTGGGAAGGTGGTGGCGGTCGTCAACACCATGCTCTACCACCTCATGATCCTCTCTCCAGTGCTGAACTTTAAAAGCTTCATAAGCCTGGACACCAAACCTCATCGTGAGGCCAAAGGAAATTTTCACCCCTTTTAGTGTTGGACTTTGGGTCCCTCTGCCAGATTGTGGTTCCTGTCCTCCCCCTCCCTCCATAGTGGCCACCTTGGCTAAGCTGTGTGAGGTTGTGACTACTCTTCCGCCCCTCCGAGTTCTTTTACTCGGTCGGGTTTACTGCTTTACCAATGTCTGGGTTACTCAGCAACGTGTAGTTGGTATTGCACTGCCTCCTGTCACGCTCCCGTCCGACCAGCCATGAAACGATCACTCCACTGGGGGCCAGCAAGTGCAGGTCGGTTACCTTCATCACACGAAGTGAATGCATCATAGTTCTCCCCTATATTCCTAGCTGCTAGTGAAGGCTGGACTGGCTGAAAATTGGGGAATGTGGTTTATCAAGGTGGTTTCCTTTGTTGGGTTTCCTTTGTGTTTCCTTTCTCAAGAGAATACGGTGTGGGTTTTCTTGTTGGCTCCTGCTGGTCCTGTTTTGTGCTTTTTTTGTTTAGTGCAGAAGGAGCTTTCATGGGGGCGGATGTGTGGTTGGTCCCATACCAGAGGGACTTGGGCTGGCTTATTTTCTCCTAGGCCTGTGGAGGAGGTTTTTGACCAACATGTCTAAGGACTAAATCAGGGGTGTGGGGCGGTTATTGCAGAGGTGCCCTTGTATCTAGGATCCATGCTTTAGCCAAACTGTGCTCTTATAGTGGAGGTTTGCACCTTTAAGCAAATAGATTCTACGATTTAACAAAAAAAAAAAAACGGGACCTCACCGGTTGCTTCCCCGCTGAGAATTACGCCAAACAAAGTTATTCGACAACTCTTCCAGTCGCCGTCATTTCTTATTCGCTGTGAAAGCGTCTATAGTAATCTTGTGTGGAGGGGGCATTGAACCTTGGACAAGCAATGGCACAATACTAAATTAAGATTGCTGGAACGTGCAGTGGGATTGGAGAGTACAGCCCCCCCGTTCTCTAGACAATTCTGTGGGCTCAATCGTGCCTGTGCTTGCGCGTGAGGGGTCCCAACTTATCGGATCAGTTTATTTGTATCATAACATTCCCCCGACTAGGCGTCAAATCCATGCGCTAAACTTGATAATGGTGATATCGAAGCACGAATGCCTGCGTGCCTGCACCGACGGGAAAGCGAACAAGCCACCGCCATCCCCCCCCCCCACCAATCTCCCAGGGTACTGGTGCAATGGCGAGGTGTTCGGAATGTCCCTTTCCCCCAAGGTATGATACATTGTCAAGACCAGAGTTTTTGCACGGGGGAGATATCCAGATGGCGTAAGTTAGAGCTCAGCTCATGTCATTGGACTGGGGGCGGTCGGCTGTCAGCGTGGAGTTATGTGTCCCCCCCCGCTTTCTCGCCGGCGTCAGCCGGGTAGTTGTCCCCAACGTTAAAACGTGCCAGTTTTCACGGGGTTTCCGGAATCGTGTATGGCATTCTTATGCTCTCCGGGAGTGTCATGGTCATGACCGGAGAATTTCTAAACTGGATTTTTTTTTTTTTAGAAATTCGAGAATGAATATTATTATCATATGATACTTCTAGAAATGGGTACCAAACTCTCAAAAAAAAAACTTTTGGTGGAAGTATGAAGTGTCCCGACCCATAATATAATAATATTATTATCATAATATCATACCTGTTTTTTTTTTGTCATCCTAACGACCTGTTCTCCACAGCTCATTGCATTGCAACAGACCAATCCACGTGCTCGCAGTTCCATACCATACCATCTCCAGACAGAATCCCAAAACGAGTATATATCACACCTAGGACGTGCCAAATCATTTCACAAACCCGATGGAGATATAACGGACCCGAAACCCCCACAACCTTGAACCATCTCCCTCTCCGACCACAGTACCGGTATCATATTATCATACGATACCAAGACAATCGCCGTAAGCCTTATACGAGTGACAAAGCATGAACCATGACACTGCAAGTACAGTACTCTCCTACAATCTATATACCGCGGATAGCAACCGAGGCATTGCATTGCAAGTAACGACTACGGTACAATCCTCTCTGTCTGGGAAAATCCGATTTTATCGTACGGTGTTTGAATCGATCCAAAGTCCGGGGGTAAGGGTACTGTACCTGTAACGAATAGCCTGGTACAGTACTGTACTGTACATGTAAAAGAGGAGTGTAGTACCCATACTATCATGCGCACTCTTGGGTGCCAGGCATCCACAGCCGACCCTCCTGTTCGCTTTTCGGTCTCTTCAGCAACGAGAAGGATGTCCCTTGCCATTCCTTGTAATTCCTTGGTAGAAATCTTGGCATATCTCATGGGTAATCACTCGATCTACCTATCCGGGCAATCTCTTGGCTGTTCCACTTTCCTTTCCTCCGGGACAAAATCTTCATTACTTTCCGCCCATCATACCACTCGTGTTCCCCTTCAGCTTAATTAATAAAATACACTTATAGTTTCACTCTCACTTGCTCCCTCATCATTTCTATACTCTTATTTTCTTTGTTATATTAATCCGGCCTTGTTGCCATTCATGTCTTCTTCTCATTTTTTGTTACCTTGAGGATCGGCTTCACGCGCCCGGTACTATATCCGACCTTCCTCTAACCCTTTCACCATTCCCGAGTCCGTTACAAGAGCACGGAAACCTCATGAGCAAAGTTATAATATCTTGTCCCCCCCCCCGCTCGAAGATGTAGTCCCGGTAAAACGAGCCTGAATCGAAGCGATAGGTATTGGGGAAGCAGGGAGAAGTGCCACACATCTGAGAAACTGCGTCTAGCATAGCAACCGAATGGAGGATATCATCGAGGTTGACTGGGATTATGAAGGCGATGACTTCGATTACGCCAGTGGCACTACTTCTTTGAAGTCTAGTGCTCTGTCGTACGTCTATGAGAATGGGAGACGATACCATGGGTGGCGCCAAGTCTTTCACCTCCCCCCCGGTTTTGGCCAAGAGAAATGAAGAAATTAACTTGCTCTCGTGATGAAGGGTCGATATGCTATGCCGAACGATGAAGACGAGCAAAACCGGATGGACCTCCAGCATCACGTTTGCCTATTAGCCCTCGATGGCAACCTCCATGCGGCGCCGATCGAAGATCCGAGGAGAATTTTAGATCTCGGGACGGGAACAGGGATTTGGGCGATAGATGCCGCGGAGTATAATCCCCTTCCCCATATCTTCCCATAACGCGAAAAAAAGTTGACATATCGCAGTGCCTATCCACGGGCGCGTGTTATCGGCACAGACTTGTCACCAATTCAACCTTCACTCGTGCCACCGAACCTCCATTTCGAAGTCGATGATATCGAAGAAACATGGGAATTCGCCGATAATACGTTTTCCTATATTCACATCCGCCAACTTACCGGCTTCATAAAAGACTGGGCCCGCTTGTATGCGCAGGCACTTCGCTGCCTGAAGCCTGGAGGATACTTCGAAATACAGGACTTTGTTGACCCCTTTTGCTGCGATGATGGATCGCTGCCCAAAGACAACATTCTGAGAAAATGGCCAGAGTATTGGATTCAGGCGGCGAGAGCGGCCGGTTATCCGATGCCCGGAACGAGTCATGTGGAAGCTATGGAGGCATCAGGGTTCGAGGCTGTGGACAGCAAACGTGTAAAAATACCTTGTGGCCCCTGGCCGAAGGACAAGGCCGCAAAAGTGCTAGGAATATACTATCTCCAACATGGTATCGAGGGTGGAGAGAGCCTCTCAATGGGAATGTTCACGAGGTATTTGGGATGGACAAAGAAACAAGTGGATGACTTTTTGGACGAGGCGTTACGCGAATTGAAGAATCCGAAGTACCATACGTACGGATCATACCTCTGCGTCTGGGGGAGGAAACCGGTAGTTGGGGGTCGATAACCCTAACCCTGGTGCAGCATCGACGATACCTGACCGTGTAGGGTCGATAAGACGACGGCCTAAGCCTCCGAGGCGCAACGACGATGACGGTGAAGGCTCAAGTGATGATGAGGATGAAGATCCAAGTGATGGTGAAGATAATGAAGATGATGACGACGGTGATGACGAACGGGATCCCAGGGCTTCTAAGTCTCATTATCTAACTCTTCCTCCCCCGTAATCTCTTTCTTTCTTTCTTTCTTATTCGGGTAAGAGTTAAAAATGGGGGGGCAGGGGAGAATACCGTACATAGAGTATCACCAACAATTCATCAATTCATCGATCCATTCACTCATTTACACTCTTGCAAATTGCGAAAGGACTCCCGGGATTGCAAAGAAGTACGATTTGATAGGTGAACCCCATAACCCACGATAGCGATGCCGCGTCCGATCTTTGATATGGGAAGCACGATAAGACCAGCTTAAGTCCAATCTAGTCCTGGCCAAACCAAAGTGAACTTGAGGCTTATCATAGTATCTCGGGATGGATCATGTGGTCCCTCATACCGGGTACAAATGGGCTGCCGGTACCAGCCACAAGTGTCATTCGTGCTCGTGGAAGAAGCTACGATATGTGCGGTACCGCACTCCCGGACTATATGATAGGGGTTTGAGTGGGGAGAGGACTCACCGGAAGGTCGACTGCAAAAGCACTTGCCGTATCGGTTCGTGGCATTTCTTGCTTGTCCTGTGGTGTTGTGACTATCCGTGGGCGGTATATTTTTTTGTCGGTGTGTCGGTTTCGGATCGAGGGGGGCAAAGTGCAGTCCTGATATAATGCGGTGGCATTTCTTCCTTATCTGGGGGGAGGGTGGATAGGAAGATGGATACTTTACGTAGCTGGAGCTCTTTTGTGCGAATGTTTGTAGAGTACGGTATGGTAGGCTTTCACTGCATCCCGAGTGACTAAGAAGGTTCTCCTGTTGAGTTTCCCTAGGAAGGACCATGTTTCATAAGACTGTACCATACTACAACTACTCCCATTCCACCGATTGGTACGATAATTAAACCCAAACTAAGGTATGAGAGGTTGAGCCCCATACCTTATCTCATGTTTAACCTTCCTCGTTAAAAGCCCTATGCCCACTCGAGCATTAGTTGAAAACCGGAAGTCACCAATCGTATCATAGGTAACTTAACCTCCCGGTAGTGGCGACTATCATACAAGTACTGAGCTCCTTTTAGGAAGGGTGGACGAAACATGGATTCCTGTTATGATACCCCCCTTGCCTGTTCGCAATAGAGCTTGATCGGTGCCCGGCAAACCTCGGCCGACAGGACCACTCTGCTTGCCCCATAGAACGTATTGGTAATCCATCTCAACACTTTATTCCAAAATGTCCATATTTTCCCCATAACCATCGAGATGGGGGTCAGGAACCCCACCCCTAGGGAAGAATTAGCAGGATTATGCCTTTCCCGAGTCTCCTCCCCCCATAGAGGGAGTTATAGAGGCCTATACCATGCAGTGAATATCTTTGGATCCGAAGGAATGGCCTCTCTTGGAAAAGTCTGTGAAAGTCTCCCCCATTGACATTCGACCACCATTGACTGCTGATGCAGAGCACATAGCAATCGATCAACTTACAATGTATTTATCATAAGAAGCGAGTATTCCCCCCCACCACCGGAAGGTCAACCCCACCCCGACGTACCGGTATGATACGTCGGTGCTAATACCAAAGAATCCCTCAACCAACTTTCCATACTCGAGCACACGACACATTCCGATATGCGCTAGCTGCCTCACCCGGGACCTTGCACCGGTGCTTTTGCCTGCTAGACCTCGTGGGTAACCATTGTACGGTACGGTAAACTTGGAACCCGGTATTGGAAAGCCATCCCGGTAAACAGGATTGGGACCAATCTCCAAGGGAGCAATCCCCCCACCAGCCGGGTAAAAGGGAAGAATTCTCGCTTCCAGCTCCCGAGCCCTTTCTCATATCGACAACTACCGTACCGTACGCACAATAGAGCAAACACTCCGTAGGCCGGGAAATCCACCCCCGATTTGCAGAGATTGGTGCTGTTGCGTAGAGAGATCTCCCGCTGGTGTAAATTTATCTATAGTACTGTACTGCACTCCCTGAGCACGGTACGGTAACTGAGCAGTCGGGGGGGAGGGGGCACGGCGTTGCAACCACTCAGTTCTGCCCAAGATTTCCTTTGGACACACGAGTGCTCGTACTGGTAAAACACCCAATGCCCGTGGAAAAAGCCATTACTCCGAAGACCACACACAGTCCCCATCTCAGCGCCCCTTGGTCAGCTGTGTTTGCCTACGATGGCAACGGCAGTCCACCGGGTAGACCACCGTAGGTATATTGGCTTGCTTGTTTGACGGTTTCGAAGCGGGTTGGATTATGGGTGCTCCCTGTTTAGAAATTTTGGCTCTGATTTAAGGCTAGAATGATGACCGTAAATTTAATAGCCTATTCCTTTACCTATGTTGGCATCAGAGTTTGTGCTATTTGAAATACTTTGGCGTATTAAGCGATAAGTTAAGTCACTTTTTCTATGATATCTAACCTAATAGGCTCTCGATATCCCGGTATTGGAAAGCGCTTGGGAGCGGGGTGTCTGTTTCTTGTACAGTATCATTGTTTTATCATATTAACTTATGAGGGGAAGTCCGATCGAAGTGGAAGTACTGTACTCTACGGTACTGTAAGAGCCACTGGCTCGCTCCGGGTGAAATGCTTCGAAATAGGTCAATCTAACTCCAGTATGACATCCGAAAAGGTAGTTTATATCTCTCGAACGTGCAAGTAATTTCCTACAGCCCACTTTCCTTCTTTGGGCTATGGATTCTATTCCTCTGAGTTACTGTACGGTACAAGTAGGGTAACCACTTTTGAGGAGGAAAAAGGCGCAATATGATAGACTACCGTACTTGTGAGATCCTGTCACTGATGGCAAGGTTAGTAGAGTAGAGTGGGGGGGAGTGCACAGCGTTCCTGGTAACGTTCCGGATGCAAGTATTACGGTATAGCGCGTCCCGGAGCGCCACAAGCTACATTTGACGGGGAAAAAAAACAATACAAAGGAATGGCGAAGGTTGCATAAAAAATTGTGTAGTAAGGTACCGAAGTTTAGAAGGGGGTGAGAGTAAGCTATCATAAGAGGGGGGGGGAGAGAGTGGAGGAAACCATACACATAGTGTAGAAAATGGAATGAATGGATGAAAAAAAATAGATATATAGCAAAGGTACCGTACTGTACTCGCGCAGTAGCAGGGAGGAGGTACCCCTATTTCCCTAGCAATACACGGTGAGTACGGATGAATAGAGCTGTAGATTACGGCGCGGGTGAAGGAAAATTGATTTCTCTACAAGTCCCACACGGGACGAAAAACAATCACAAGGGTTTCCGACCATATACGATATGCCCTCTAGTAAAAGTGTTGGCATCCTGATTGAGCATCTCCCCGCGCACCTTCGTGACAAGGTCCTCCACATCCTTCTTGTCCCATCCCAACACGCGAATAAACATGTCCAACGTGATACCCTCCGCGCCATCGAGCGCCTGCTGCAACATGCACCTGCTCATTTCTCTCAACCTCGCATCCTGTGGCTTCGCTCCGGTAGTGGAAATTTTGTACTCCTCGTTCACAACGTTCTCAAAGCCAACGGCTCGCAGCATGGCCGACATCCCTGGACCAACGGTGCTCCAACTCCTGCCGGACAGGACCGCACCCTCTTCCCAAGTCTTTACCCATAAGGTAAGCGCGCTGTTGGGAGGAAGGGTGCCATCTTCGCAGGCGAAAGGTGAGGAGAAGTCGTGGAATTCAATGTAGCCGCCTGGTTTCAGCGCCGTGAGTGACTGGGTGAGAAGGCGTGGCCAGTCGGCTATGAATCCCGCCATTGACCGGATGTGTATGAGGTCGAAGGTGTTCTCGGGAAAGACCCATTCCTCCTCGATGTCCTCCAGTTGGATGTCCAGGTTGGGCGGCGCCCACGGGAGCTTGCTCGGGGCGATGTCAGTGCCAAACACGTGAGCATCTGGATATCGCCTTTCGTAGGTTAGCGACCGACCTGGCTTGTCCAGACTGTCTTGGGGAGAGATGTTGTTCACAAGGGGAGGAAGGAGAAAGAGGGGATGAGGGGGTAACGTACTCGGCTACCTCAATAGCCCATAGACCTGTCCCTGTCCCCACGTCTAGGATTTTTAGAGGTTTAGTTACTGGGGCCTTGAACATTCTGCCCTCAAGTGCTAAGGTGCAGACTCGGTGAAGAAGGTCTAACCGAATCTCCTCCTCCTCGTCGTGGGGGAAACTATAATCGACCTACAACTCATCACTATGGGTTAACATATAGGGGTTGGTGCTTCTGAGGGGAGAAGTGCTGACCTGTCGGCGGGAGAAGTATTTCCGGCCATTTACACTTCTGTTGTAGGTGTGCGTCTCGCCGGATACGAGCGACGACGGATAGCTGTCGAAACCGGAAGCGTAATCGGAATCATCGTCGAAAACGTCCTGGTGGTTGTACTCAATCACAGCACTATTCGAGGACGCTGAAGCTGACCAGGCTGTCGACGCTCCAATAGAGGCTCTATCCATGCCGCCCACCACCCTCGACTATTTCCGGCTCGTAACAAGTTGATGCGATCCGTTTTGTTCGCTCGTGTGGCGGCGGTCTGGGTATTGGGAGCAAGTGGGCGGGTGTGAGGAGGGGAGGAGACAATTGATTTTCCTGAAAGGAATAATCTGAGGCTGCGGAACAGATTTGTCGGTACTCGAGTACGGTAGTAGTCTACGAGTATCGGTATTATATGATCCCTTTTCAGCCCCCCGATTAAGAGTGATTTGTTATTTTTGTTACATGATATTTCTTATTCTTCCCGTTCGTCTGTCTGGATGCCAAGATTCCCGGTTGGACACAAACCCTTTTTTTGCATTTGGCCTGAACTCACTTTCCCACGGCACAAGGATGGTTGTTTATCTAAGGTTGCCTTCATCCGATGGTGATAATCATCCATTATCAGTATTGGACTTTCTCTCTAAGGTCTCTTTTTTTCCCTCATACCCACAGCCCATTCATTGCAATTGCCATTGTGAGACCTTTATCATTGGGTGGCAACTTCCCCCTCTTAGTGGCACTTTGACCCCTTACAGGTGGTTGTTTGTGCGACGCCTGGCTAGGACCAAAAAAACAGCTACCATAAAAACCACTTCCAAATACCGGTATTAAACCCTATATCGGTAGGGAAGGATTGGAAAATAACTCCGTAGTTCGGTTTCCCTAAATATTGCGTTCCAGTTGAATAAGACGACGGGAAATTAATTTGTTCATGAGGTGGGTGATTTTGAACTCCATCCAAAGTTTTTGAAGGCTGGATGAAACCCACCAACACCCAAGTTATGTACTAGTAAGGCACTAGTAAGTCCTGTTTAGGCCTAGGCCAATACTAAACTTGGATTAGTGGATGAATTAATTTCCTGAGTTTTTGCCAAGAAAGGACTCGTCTACGGTACGAGTACTGTACGAGGGGGGGGAAAGAAGTAGCGCGACACAGTAGCAACCGCTTCCCACAAGATCGCAACTCTACTCCCAACCCCCATCACTACAATACTCACTATATCCCCCACCACCTGCCAAACCATTTCAGAAAAGCACTATGAGGGTAAAGGAAACCCGCAGAAGTGAGCGTAAGTAGTTTAATTAAATGAATATGTACATAAAGTTGAAATAATAATAAAATTAAATGATTTAGCGATTAGTCCATGAAATCTTGAGCAGCGGCAATCGTTGACGAAGCAACAGCGCTTCGAGCGGGAAACCATGTGTGATGACCAGATCCGTATTATTGCTCTCCGAGAAATAGCGGAGTGGTCTTTCAGAAAGATAGCTGCCAAATTGGAGGAAAAAATAGGCCTTAAAGTTCACCATAGTACCTGTGCTCGCATCTATCAACAGTATCGGGAAACAGGTAGTCCTTCCAACTACCAGCAAACAGGAAGACCTCCAATCTTCCAGGAGTCTGATCTACTTGATCTAAAGTCTTTTATTAAAGAAAATAAAAGAAATAGAAGACTCTCTTGAGAGGATATTAAAGAAGAGAAGGGATTAAAAGCATCATCCAGGACAATTAGGAAGGCAGCTAAGAGTCTTAATTTAAATAAAAGAAAACCACACAAGAAGTAAGTACTTTAATGAAGATTCAAGTGTTTACATAACTAAAAGATATTTTAGATGGGGATTGCGCCCTAAAAATATACCAATTAGATTTGGTTAGTGTATGAGAAAAAGAGCTTGGAAACTAAGAAACTGGTCCAGAATCATATGGACTGATGAAACCTCATTCTCTACAGCTGGATTTGGGCAGAGAGGATGGGTAATAAGAGAACCTTCTGAGGAATATGATCAGGATTGCATTGATGAGGTCTGGGAGTCAGGAAGGGAGACAGTTATGGTATGGGGAGCCTTTTGTGGGGATTTGAGGTCAAAGCTAGTGGTAGTACCAGGAAAGGTTAAAGTGGATTCTTATAAGTATACTAAGTATATTCTGGATCCAGTTTTAATTCCTTTCTGGCATGAGTGTTGTGAGAGATTTGATTGGACTAGGGTTGTTGAAGATGGTGTACCAGGGCATAAAGGGTAGATTCTACCTCCTTATAATTATTGTATTTTCTGTTTTTTGATATAGAAATACTTACTTAAGAATATAATCTAACTACTGGTTTAATCACAGATATTCTACAAAGTGTAGAAAAAGGAATGGGGTGGATATATTGCCCTGGCCACCACAGTCACCAGACCTGAACTTAATTGAAAATATTTGGGGAGATATGGAAACTTACTTGGGGAAAAGGTATGGAAGAGTTGCAAGCAAGGAAGAGCTAATCAGAGCTGTGGAGGAAGCATGGAAAGCTATTCCTGATGGAAGGTTTATGGATCTTTGCAGAAGTATGCCAAAGTGGGTCAGAGAGGTTATTAGAAGAAAAGGGCACCAAACTCATTATTGATTTATGATTTTCTTTTTATTTTACTTTAAGGAAATACTAAGCATTTTTTAATTTTATCTCCTTTACTTATTTTATTTATTGAATGTGGTTGTGGAAAATGGTAGTACTATATGTTGTTGATATTGTTTCTGTACGGGAATTTGTGTTGCACGGGTGTCGCATTACTTTCTTCCCCCCCCTCGTACAGTACTCGAGTAGCTGGACGGCAGGTGTCGCACACCCTCTGGTACCAGGGGTGAAAGCCACACACAGCACCGTCGAACCCGCACCGCCCAAGTTGATAAAGCACTGCACTGTGCGGTGGTCGAGCACTGGTACTGTACAGTACATACTCGTACTGCGCTCGTACTCGTAGACTAATGCGCCGGGGCAAAAACTGACGGGAGGGCTGGGAGGGGAAAGGCGGAAGTCGTAGTGAAGGCAGCCCAAATACCGGTATGATACTTGTAGCAGAGGCAAAACACCATGGCGCGGTGAGGGTTCGCATGGCCATGCGTGACATCTGATCTCTTCTCCGTAATCACCGATATGAGCACCACCACGGACCTTAAGTTTGAAGTTTTAATGCCTGCTGATGGTATCAGCATTGCAAGACTGCACAATTGCTCACTTAAAGCAGGAGAGAAATGGTTGGCCAGATCCTGACTCCCTCGCGGTTGCTAGATACTGAGGTAAGGGAGATTGGCGTTGTGGAGATAAAGAGTGGCTGGTGACGAAGCTTGCAGATCTAGGAACGAGTTTTTTATGGCACCCAAGTTGTTTGTTAATACTCGAGTACAGTGCTCTAGTGGATTTCAGGAGCACTGGTAAATTACTACTGTAGTAGGACTACGGGTAGTGGCAAGGGAGGAAGGGGAGGATGCGGGTCAGTGTGGAAAGGAGAGGCCATCCTAACGCGGGCTCACTGGTCCATTGGGGACAATGCAGGCCTGACTTCCTGTGGCATCTCCGAATTGTCAGGAGCAGGGTGTCATTGGACGAAAGATCTCGGACAAGCTATGATACAAAACAAACGGACTACTTCATGCCCACTGGAGGTCTTGAGGGGCCTACCATACCTCGATACCGGTAGTATAAAATAGACCATTGGCGGATATTTCTCGAATATCCGGTGAAGCGTGCCCGTGGCATACTCGAGTAAAGCGTTCGTATTGATTACGATAGAGGAGGTTTCACAGACCAACCTCTGTTTCTCACCACCTCCTCATCCTCTACCCCAGACTAGGCTACCGGTAGACCTCCAGGGATGGATGTACAGTACTCGTAATAAACGAATAGCCTAAGGGGGTGTCAACAAGACGTTTGGATGGTTTCCCGAATTGTAGTTTGAGTGGTGTGCGTTGCCAGACACCTATGGTAAATTGTGAAGGTTAAGGTTAAAGGAGAAGATTAACAATCCAGAGAAGGGGTTAAATTACAAATAAGCAACATTAATTAAGTAAAAGTGGTGTAAAAACTAATAAGGTTCATGGACTGAATGCCACTCCACAAAAAGGTATCATAGTTCCCCCAACCTGGAATTTCGAAACTGTAGAAACCACTGATTGGAAATAGCATGTAGCCAAACACCCTCTGGGAAAACAAAACATACTTCACCGCTCTACTTGTACTGCCGTTGATCTTAGCTCCAGAGCCAACGCCGCGTCAAGGTGTCAACCACGCTGGATGAATGATGACGGCTGGTCCTAAGCTTACCCTTTACATATCCTACCGCTTCTTCAGGAGCTCACTCAAGGAGAAGGAAGGCCAGGACTACACGAATTACAGACCCAGTTATGAGTGAATTCGACGGCTGTGAAGATCTGGTTGGCATTTTTCACACGGACCCCTACGAGTATTAATCCTGCCCGGGAAGCTAACTTAGCCTCTTACCCCACCTTCCCCGGGGAACCGGTCATTATCCGGTCGGGCAAGTATAATAGACTACAGCATGTCGGTGTGGTAAGAAATAAGCAACGAAATAGTCTACTCGTACAGTACGGCACCCGTAGTCGGAATTTGGCCATGAGAAGCGAACTCGGGTGAAATATCAGCCATCGTTAGAAAAAAGGCTTCACTCGCGAGGAAAACTGAGGCACCAACTTATAATTACTCGGGTATCAGCATATTCCTACTTGGAGTACCACCTGGGGGCCTAACATAGTTCGATACTAGCGTACGGTTTCAGCGATTTTGGGCCCTTTTGCCTGCCCCAAACTCGACCGTGACGGCAAAAGAAGGCTGGGCTTGAGATCACTTGGTATTATATCACTCGTTGCGCGCGGAATCCTACAACCACTCGGGGGATATTAACCCCTTTGCCCCCCTTTCCCCAAGGACAGTCAGTGTGTGAGATACCATCGAGAATAGAATGTAGGGGGTTCAATCCTCGTTTTCTCTAGAAAAACCCTACATAACAGCTGTGGGCAACAAGAGCATCCATCGTGTAGCAAGGAAAAATAGTGTGCTTTATTGGAGAGGCGCTTGAAGGCTTTATATATCACTGAGATCAGCAATGGAGGATTGTCTGTTGCGTGGGTTGCATGCAACAAGTATTCAGTATTCCCTTGTGCCGCTAATAACATATCGTTTGTCCCTTTTTGGGAATTTTGCACAATGCTGTGCAGAGAGAGTCAAGGAGTTGTCACTAGAAAGGAACTGTATTCTAACACCCCCCTCCAAAGCTCACATACCGCCAGCCCTATAGCACTCATTCGGGTACTGAAAGAGTATTTTTCGCTCCTAGAAAACAGAACCTGATGTAGATGATCAGTAAAGTTTGTATTGAAAACAATGGGAAAAAAAAAAGGAAAGGAATGAAAATCAAGCAGTTTGTATCGCAGGGAAGAAAGTAAGACAGTCCTTTGGCTATCTTTCACTTTGTTGTACTACACAAGTCAATTTCACTCGGTTCGTGCTTCACAAGTTTGTACTCGTGGTTCTTGTATTGTTGATTCACTTGCTTAGTTACAGGAATGAAGAAGGAGAGAATTTTCTTTTCTCTTCTCTTAGCACAAAATTTCCAGCCACAACTACTGCACTGAACGGATATTATATCTTCCACTGGTAGCAACTATTAATACCTTTTTTTTTTAAAAAAAAAAACAAAAAAAAAACAAAGGACAGGACATTATACAGTAAGTTTGCAAGGAGAGCGTTGCTCAAAGTTGGCTCAGCGGTGAACGACCACCCTTACGGCCCAATTTAGATATTTTCGCATTGCGGAGCTTGTGCTAGTACATGTATAGTTCATCCCCTAGTCTCTTGCCCCCAAACAGAAGGAGGGAGCTTCCTTTTCTCTTTCTTCCACTACCTACGATAACTCTCACCGCCCCAGACGAGTGATACAGTCAGAACTGAATCACACTACCCCGCAGCAGAACCAACCCGCCCTACGGTGCTCTAGCATGACCTTCCTGAGTAAGCCCAAGGTCACCGATCTCCCATAGCGAAGGATTTATGATACCCCCATTCCCTACCGATACCTTAAGCGATGCGGCCAATGATAACTCTCCGTTCGGGCCGCTCTCCGATATTTGGAACCGCTAGCCAAAAGTGCCCGGGAACCTCGAGGTAACTCGTCTCCCAAGAGGGCACTTTGTATATGCGAGGCGGTACGCACGAATTTCAATGGACCTCGTTCACTTCGAATGTTGGCAACTGCGGCACTAGGATGGGGGGAAATTGTGATGGCGCATTTCGGGTGAGTGTGCACTTCATAACTTGGTCGTTCTGCCGGGTTAGATTTTTGCGGATTGGTGAGGTTTTTCGGCGCTCCGAGATCCTCGGTTTTGGCGCGTTTTGCACCTTGTCGTCGCGGGATTTTTGTTCTGGGACTGGACTAGCTGTTGGGGAATATAAGGGTGGGAAGTGGAGGACGAAAACCGTGATTCTATGTCTCAGCGAGCACGGGGGACTAATGTACGAGTACTACGTGGGCTTAGTAGTCAATCCAATAATTCATCCGATGCGAAGAAGACTGAACCCTGAGTCAAACGCGCTAGTGAAGACCTCATCTCGGAATCCACCGAAAGTGAACTGCAAGGTCGACTGGTAGGATTTTGAGAAGGGACAACCTTTCAACATGTGCTAGTAATTAGAATTCGAGTGATATTCTGTGATGGCGCACGGTATTGTGAGCCAGGGAGAACGGGAAAGACTGAATAATAGAGGATGGTTTATGGATTGCCGAGAGCAGTGCTTCCTCGGCCGACAGGGTGAGGAGACATTGTTTATTCGGGCTGCCGTAAATATCACGCCGGAAGACCAAGTGCACTAACCAACTAGCTAGAAGAAAAGGAGACCCCCAACTTAGTCAAACGGAATCCTCGGAACCTTTCTCAAACTCGCCTGCTCCCCAGCTCTTCTAGCACCAATCGCTGCAGGAACCTTAATCCCACAACATTCTCCCCAGGAACTATGCACATGGGTCATCCCTTCCCTATCAACCACCTCCCTTTCTCCCTCCCCCTCTTCCTCCCCATCACCCCCTCCGATCCCCTCGACAGCACTCACCAACCCGCCAAACAGGAAATGCTGCATAATGGGCAACTTCCCTAGAACCTCCTTCTCGTACATGGTCATCATCCCGCTGTTGATCTTCGCCCAATTCCTCGCGTTGGAGATGTCGTCCAGCATGGGACTATGCCAGCGTAACCCGGCGGTGACCTTGATGCTGTTGATGAAGGAGATACAGGAGAGGTAGATGTAATCTTTGGAGAATTGCTCAAGGATCTCATCGTCATGGATGCATTTTGGGCGGAGGTATGGATGCGAGTAAAGTTGGCTGCTGCCGAATAGAAAGGGGAGGAATTGGTAGTCATCGAGGCCCCAAACTCCGTGGCTGCCGGCTGGCTCGAGGTAGTATGTTGTTTGGATCTTGCGCATGAGGGTTAGGTAGCGAGTGAAGAGGTGGAGAACTAAGGAGGCGTAGGTGGAGGGTTCTAGGAGGGAGAGTTGGTGGAGGCAAAGTCTGGTCGCAATTAGCTTCGCTGGGAGGGGGGATAGGAGGAGCGGGGGCAAACAAATAAATTAGGTAGTTAAGCTCATGTCCCGATCCGTAATCAATCCTAGTCCTGTTTCCGAAAGCTTCGGTAAAATAGGCTTTGATCTCCCCCATTGCCCCCTCTTTTACTCCCTCTCCTTCCAACCCTTCCAATATTCCCTCATGCAACCCCTCAAACTTCTCCCCAACTTCATCGTAGAACCCCCGAAATGCAGCATTCCCGAACCGGCTCCCGCCGGCTTCCTCTGCCGGATGGCGGTCGGCGATGGCATCTACCGCGTCTAGGACACTAATTAGTTGATCGACGATGACTGGCTGGGTAGCTGGATGAGAGAGCGGGAGGTTGAGAACGCTATTGTTGAGGTCATTTATAAAGGATGTTATCAGGATATAAGTTTGTGAGGACTGGAAGAGAGCGAGATCAGCGGGAGTGAGGATTCTTCGGACGGGCTGTTGGAAAGATATGCCGGAAAGTTGTGGCGGCGAGGGGCAGAGGAGGGGTAGAGGTACGGTAGGTGCGGTAGGGGGTTTGTTTAACGAAGAAGGCATTTCTTTCGGTGCCCGCCGGTCTTGATATCTGCGTTTAGGCCTTTAGTTGCTAGTGGAAACCTGTTTTCTGGTAGTGGTGGTGGATGGTGGTATCATACTCGAGTAGATGGCGGACGAAGATTGGTTGCGGTTGTGGAGAAACGTATTTCCGATGTGGTGTGACATTCGGTTGTCGGGGCGAAGAGGGTCGAAGCCTAATTTAGGGTGGAAGGGGCCGCAGGTGGCTTGCGGGTGGATGAGGCTCTGCTGGCGACAAGCACATCTCTGCTGGTTCAGGTTTCAACAACCAAAGGTCTCACCAGGATGCCGGTATGATACCGGTATCCTCGGTGTACGATATTTCACATTTCACATAATGTGTAAAGGCCATCACGATCTCCATCCCACCCAAAGATGGCAGTCAAATTTTTAATAACGCCGTCTACGAGTATTTCAGCCCTTCGATTTCGAAAAAAACATCTATATCACTGGTCAGATTCCAAAAGTGAAGGTGATACGGGCAAAGACCCTACAACCAATGGATTTGGCCAAGTTACCCTCTCATGCAGAAGGCTTCCCTGACTACCTTCTGATCCTCACGATCAAGTGTGCTGCATCTCGCTATCTCCAACTCATATGGTCGGGAGGTGTCGCGTGCTACCCATCTCTTCCTACTCGTGGGTCTTTGGTGATGATGATGCCTCTCCCTGTGAATCATGCCAAACGGCATACCATTTCTCTTCCCCATCCGCCAGTCCGTTTCGATTCGTGTCAAAGTGGGAAGCTCACGTTTGACACGTCAATAGTCGAGTCGGAGCAGCTACCAGCACCAGTATCAGATGTCAGGCTCTCAGAATTTCCAGGCACGTGCCGCTCTCGTGGAAAAAAAGGTGACGCAAGCTTGTTTGCCCTGTTGGATGGGAAAAGTTTTTTCTCAGTTCTCATGGGGGGGGGCATAACTTGGGTTGGGGATAGCGGTGCAAGAACGAACTGAATCTTCCCAGTGCCGGTACCATAATATTATCGACGTCTACAATAACTCCCCACGGCAGGAAGGTGATCGGTTTGAGTCCCGTTTATCTACCGGGCACAGTCTTTCGCTTGCTTTACCCCCACTACGCCTACCGGTGTTTGTTTAGCTTCGGTATTGCACAATCTTTTCCCCTGTTCGGTCCGGTGTGCCGGTGGTGTAATAGCCAACCGCATCGACGCCTGCTTCCACAGTAATTTTCCCCCCAGTTTTCCTATAGGATCCCGGTGCCCCTCTCTGTTGTGCCTCCCGCCCCTCCGAATAAATTTCTTCCCCCTTCCCCTCCCCTCTCCTGCCACATCACAAACATCCCACAGAACTGTTTTTGCACTCTTCCTTAACTTTCTGGGCCTACTCCTCCTGTTGTGCTTCCTCACGGCTCGCTTCGTCATTATCTCAGCTATAACTCGTGATGGGGATACCCAGCGGAAAGGGTGATCACCTTTGCGTACTCATTCATGGGTAAGTGCTGGAAATTGATCTCTCAGGCCTATACCCCGTCATTGATAACCCTTTGCAGCTTATGGGGCAACCCCGGACACCTCGAGTATCTAACAACTGCTATCCGCCAACGTTACGATGACTCAAAATTACAGATTCTTGTGGCTAAGCGTAACTCCGGGACCTTTACTTATGATGGAATCGAGCTCGGTGGCGAGCGTGTCACTAGGGAAATTGAGGACGCCATAGAGGAGTACGCTAGGAACGGGGTGGAGATTCGCAAGATTAGCATCGTGGGCTATTCTTTAGGTAGGTAGCTTGAAAATCTAGTACTGAATCGACTCATAGCTCTTGTCTAGTTCCGCGGGTGATGTGCCTTGACCGGACGGATGTGATGAAGGAGCTTTGCGTGATAACTTTGACGGGTGAGAATTGATGAGGCTGACACGGTGGTATGTGTTTCAATTGTTTAGGTGGTCTCGTTGCCAGATATGCCGTTGGCCTCCTGTATTCCAAGGGATATTTCGATAGGATTAGACCTGTGGTGAGTCCTCCCCTCACTGTACTGTTCTGCGATATTTCGTTGTAATGAGGGTGGGATTTTCTGACTCACGGACTACAGAACTTTTGCACGTTTGTAGCCCCCCATTTGGGGGTCAGAACCCCGCTGCTGGGTTGGCATAACCATATCTGGTACCTTTTCCGGAAATTCTCATTTGCAGCTTGGCTTTGCTTATCAACTCTTGGCTAGGAACGTTATCGGTGCCCGCCTGTTATCTGCTTCCGGCCGGCAACTGTTCGCTATAGATAAGTTTCGGAATACAGGAAGACCCTTGCTTTCTATCCTTGCCGATAAGGATTCCGTGTTTTTCAAGGGACTTGAAAGGTTTCAGAATAGGGTCCTGTACGCCAATGTTGTCAACGATCGTGCGACGTGTTATTACACGGCAGGTATCTCCCGATTCGATCCATACGCAGCCCTACCGGATATCTCGCTCAATTATGTTCCCGGCTATTCCCCAATTGTCCTCGATCCTGACAGCCCGATCTCGCCGGCGACCAGGGAAGAAGATGAAAAACTTCCCGTTGCGCATCGAATTAGCAGAACTACTCACGTAGCCATGCGGTTGCCAATGGTGCTCATATACACGATTGTCATTCCGATTGGGATGTTAGTATTTCTACTCAATTCCCTCATCCAGACGGTGTTCAGCAGGAGACGGATCAGGCTTCACTCTAGCGATCAGTTAGGTTACCATAGGCTTCCACTTTTGGTCGAGGAGATGCAGGAGGCTGCCGAAGGGCTCATCGAGGACATTCACCACGAGATGATTCCGCAACATCTGACGGATATCTCAGAGGAAAGTGTTGGCGAGAAACTCGTCAACGCGATCACGCCTCGGAAGACAGTCCCTAGCCAGGAGGTTGCTGAAGATTCTTCGGTATTGATTACTCTCGTAGACGGGACGAGTCGACCTGTAGAGAATGCTTCTGGTGATTCTGGTGTACCGCCACCAAAGAGCGCACCCGCACCCCAGACAGTTACAGAAAAGTTGCCTCCGCTAGCGCAAGGGAAACTTGAATTTCCTACGCTCGCTCTATCACACCAGCAATTTGAGATGATTGCCAACATCGATAAACTCGGTTTCAGGAAGTACCCTGTCTTCATACATAATGACAGGCATTCTCACGCAGCGATTATTGTCAGAAAGCCATGGGCAAAGAGGTGGGATGAGGGGAGGGTTGTGGTGGCGCACTGGCTCGATAAGGCCTTTATTGTTTAACTTTCCGACAAGTATGAATGGTTTGGAAATTGGGCGTTATGGGAGGTCATTTCACGCCCACGCCTTTGCATTTCTTTCTTTCTTTTAGCCCTTTTGTCAGTGGCCCTTGAGAAATTGTTTGCGGTTCTGGCTAGAGTTCGGAGTTGGTGTCGATGGGACTGTTTGAACGATGTTAGATACCGCGTTGAAGATGAAATTGAAGCTGATTATCAAATCATTGAGTGTCACTCGTGTGTGTTTTGTATCTACTGTTGAACATCCCTTCCGGTTCCGGTCCGACTGGAATGCGAGCGGTCCCGGCACGTTCGTTCCCGACCTCTTCTAGGCGCAGGGTGTGTGTTCGCGGGGAGACGAATCGGCTTTAGAGTATCATATTATGTACTCCACTCCTGCTGAACAGCGAGACCAGGCCCATGGGTATACTATAATTTCGGCACGTTACACGTGCTCGTGGGATCATGACCTTGGGGTCGACACACTCATGCCTCGTTTCCCCCATACTATCCTGTCCTTGAGCCCCCGATTCTGTCCACTCAATTCTCTCGGTGGCTTGGGGGGGGGGTATCCGGCGCCATATCTGCACAAAAATGGGTCCTAGGATCTGAAAGCTAACCCCCGGCCAAGCAAATGCTTATCCCTTGGTGGCTCTAAAACAGCCAAATTCGTATCAATCAAATAAAATTTATCCTATCATATCGATCCGGTAGCCAGGCACGCTAAGCCCGTCCTGGAATGACTTCGCCCTGTGATTTGCCGGGAATGTTTAAATTCGCCAAGAGAACCAAGTCATTTGAGCACTGAAAAGACAATTTTTTGTCCAAGTTCAGCTCGCTGTTGCCACATGTGGCCTTAGCGTCCGGTCACGGATTTGGTTGGTTAAGAGCGACTAAGGGATAGGAGAATGGATATTTCATTCATGATTCACGTTTTATCACTCGTCGATTCTATAATCTCGGTTTGGGGGAAGAAGGAAGGATATGTGATTGGTGCGTCTGAAAAAATTGTAACAGGAAGTGAAATGGGAGTGAAACAGAAGTGCAACAAAAATCAAAGCGAGTATGATACCTGGGCTGATTGATTGATTGCGTGCCCAATTACTTAATGGAGTACTGTAAGGAAATCCTTGACCACCCACAGTCAGGGTTTGAGGCTCGTTCCCCCCTCCCTCCTTTTCTTTATCCTGTCACCCCCAGACCAGTCAGTATCATAGGTTATCGGACAAGACAAGAGAGCGAGCAGTGCAAGCAGGTCAGCGTTTCTCACTCACTCAGGTTAAGTACAATATCTCCTTATCATACTCACAGTCTAATCACTATCAGCACGAGACCCCTTTAGGCTACGATGGAGACCTTTATTGTGTCCGGCGTTGTTTTATCGGCTGGCCTTTGAATGAGGCGCGGGTACACCTTGAGACTCGGATCTAGTTAGGGACAGTCAATTCTTCCTGCTTTTGACGAGTCTAATTGTTCATCACTCCTCACTCGGACGGCCCGCATGCAGTAGGATGTGGGGGGTTGTTTTTCTTCTTTGTGACTGCTGGGTATGATAGCCGGCTTTATTGCTCATCTGCCCCGGTGCGTCCATAAGAATTGGAAAGCATAACCCTAGCCTCCACATAGATTTATACGGTAGGATCAGCAGGGGTAGTTTTCCGATTTTTACTTACGCCTCCGAGTATGGTTCGGGATCTTGGCTGTTCGATCCGATCAAACCGCGCACGCCGGCATCTTCCGCGCTTCCCGCACGGTGTCCCGGGATGTCTTAGCTCTGGTCCGGTTAGATATTGCATTTGCACGAAATCTTGGCCTAAACCACGGTACTTGTACTTGTACTAACTAATGAAAAAAAAGCCCTATGAGGAACGCGGCCTGGGGTAGGGTTCTACTGTCCAACCGGACCGGAATTGACACATCCTGGGATGGGGGTAGGGAATTCGATCCGTGGATAGGGTGCTGTACCGTGCAAGTATGATACTTGCAGAGAGTGGGCCGGATCCATTGGCAATTCGGATCATGATATCGTAGGGTATGCGCACCTGTCACGCTCTCCCAGTGGAGTTTATAGCGCGGGATTGGAAGGCATTTTTCCAGGGAGTGCTATTCAAGGGTTTTTGCTGGCTCGGGTGTCTGAATTTCCGTAGTTGCTTTTTTTATTGGGGCTGAACCTCTTGAGATGGTGGCCACCGTTTACGATAAGTATGATATGAGCACTCGAGCAATACCCAAGTACCGACACGACATCTGCAGTGAGTGAAAAGAAAGCAAGAAACGCCTCACAGGGTCGCAATTGGGTGAGGGGACGTCTGCCCAACTGCGTGGTGTCTCGTGCAAGTGTATTAGGGTCACTTGTGTGCCGTTGTTTTCATCTTGTGGATGATAATGGAGGCAGAGAATGCAAGGGAGGATATCATCTACTAATGGCAACTTTTCGATGCAAAGTGGGGAAGGATGAGACTGAATTGAGGCTCCTTCCCCGTATGTGGACCGATTTCGATCGAATCCGGGTTGGAACCCTTGGGAAAAAAAGACGGCAATTAAACCTCCGAAATTCGGATCATGGAAGAGAGGGCAGATCTTACAAATTTTGATACCCGGAATATTGCCTCTTACTCCTTCACTCCTGCTTACTGGGGTCAACTGAGGCTTTCTGATATTCCACTTTTTGGTCTCACTCGAGTACCTACCTACTCCCGGGCCCGTTTTGCGAAACCAACACTTTTTCACAGCTGGGTTCCGACGCTTTGATCCCTGATTCCCGAACTCTGCTGAGTGAGATAGACGTGGTCTTTTTTTTTTTCTACCACAACCTTTCCCCTCCCGTGCATGATATCACTATAATATCCCTCACTTGAACATGTACGGTATGGTATTGTGCCATTCCCCAAGATGTTGTCTATACAGTGCCAAGAGTTGACAAAAATGATGCAACACCATAATAATATGATGACCCCTCCTCCGCTGCAACGCCAGTAAAATCCAGAAAAACACAAATTTCTTATCCAGAAAGATCAACATTCAAACAACTTTAGTCCTTCCAATTCAACGCGCGGGTAAAGGGAGCTCGCAGTAGTAACTGTAAGTAATTTTGAACAAATGCAAAAACCAGAGGTAGACTTAACAATGAGGTGACAATTGATCGTTGATCTTTTGTATAGGTAATCGCTGCGGCTGGGTTCTACTACTGTAATATTGCCCACCCCCTCTAGTACAGTGCACAAAGTAATACCCAATGAAAGCACAGTAGTGTGACACAATGCCCAAATTTTTGTTCGCTGGCCAGGGCTTAAGCCCAAGTTTCTGATTGGACGGATCCGAATCCACCAGAAATCGTACTGTAAAGTCTAGGAAACAACTATGTTTGTGCGTGGGGGAGGGAATTTGTTTGCGTTCGAGTGATTGGACGATCTCCGAGTTGAAGTTTTCCTTAGCGTTGTGGGGTATAGCATACTTTTTTACTTGCGGGGTTATTGTGGGATAAGAGTACTGTAGAGTGCTGTACAGTACTGTGGGGCAGACTTTTGCTGGTGGTAGGGGCTGTCAGTTGATGAGCAAATAATTGATCGCGAATGGGGGGTTAGATAAGAATATAGTAACTCGAGTTGTAATGGCATTTGCTTCGTTCGTGCTGTGCTGTGCTGTGCTGTACTAGTGGTAATGTGCCTTCGGTGGTGGGTTGTTTGGGAGGATACGTCTGGATAGGCGATTTTGGGATCAAGTTGGTAGTGGTAGATATGGTGTGGTACTGTGGTAGGCCTGGGTTCTAGTTGCTGGCCCCGGCGTCGAATTCACACAATGGGGTAGAGTTTTACTTTTCCATTAAAGCCACTGTAGACTATACAAGAGATGAATCTTCAAACGTATGGCTCGTTGCGCCGACCCTGGAAGAAAAAAAAATTGTGTAACAAGTTTCCCTGTACTGTACAGTACGAGTACAGCAGACTACATATCTCCCGAGAAAGAGGAAGAAGGGTGTGTCCGAATTCTCATAAAAACACGAACCAGATGTTATTATAACTCCCCGCGAACGGGGCAACTGGATATCTTTCTGGGAGGTGGAGTGGGGTTCCCGAACCGGTGCTTTTTAACAAAGGTGTCTCTGCACTCCTGACACATACGGCAATCATTCTGGCACTTATGCGCGGGATTGCTCCGATGCATGTTACCCCAACCAAGTCGGATCAACATCCCGATCATCCTTGACTTCCTGCGGGTAACCCTCAGTATGCCAACACTCCCCCTCGTTATCGCCCCCACCCTCATCCCCATGAGCAAAAGCCTCGCCATCACCCCCGCCTTCCCTCCCACCCCCTTCTCCACTCCAACAAACCTGCAAACCCCCACAAAACCCTCCAAAGACAAAGCTATCCAACACACTCCCCACTCCGAGTACTGTACATCGCAGGAACAGCAGACATGACGGGGGGAATAATGACTTACTGGGGAAAACACCGCTGTGGTACCATACCCGGACCATCCACCCAAGTCCTCGCCTGAACCGACTTCACCATATGGCATGTCCTGCCAATTCTGGAACCCGCGCCAACCCTTCCTCCCTTCCCACCCTACTCAAAGGCGTCCCAAAAGCGCTCTCCTCTCGACCAAGAATCCGGTGCTGCGGCTCAATGTGATGACCTACACCGGCCTCACTCTCTACAGCTCTGCGAAAACCGCTCGAGAGCTTCTACTGCTGTATATTTCCGGGATTGCGTCGTGCCTGTCCTCGTCGCACGGGTTTGTCCTGGGTATAGAGGGTTCTGGTGATCACTACGCGAAATATGGCTTGGATCGCCATGACGGGTACGGCGACCACATTTTTGGGGTTGCGGATTTGGGAGTAGTAAACGGGGTTCTCGGCCCGTCGGTCTCTGGAATCCTGATGGGATGGACTGCAGTGCCTGAGGGGTGCCCAGGATGGGCGAGCATGTAATCGTCCATCCGGGCAACCGCTCAGGACGGATGGGTGGGCTTTGTAGATGTCGCAAATTGCCGAGTATACCCGTCCCATATTGGTGACGAGCAAAGAGCACAGATAGCTAGAGGACTGCGTGTGGGTGCTGTCACCCCCCCTAGACGGCAGTTTTTCCAAAGGACGGACGTGCTTGCACTTCGGCTTGGGACCCATCCACAGGGCTCCCCGATCGGAGCCCTCTCGGCGTCTACATGGGGCCCGGGACGCTCGCGATCATTGGCTGGGAGTCCAGGAAGAGTATAATATGATATCATCATACTGGGATTTTTTTCCGACCTGAAGGGTAGCCGGAAGTTGGGATTGGGATTGGGATTCGGGTTCGGAGGGATTGCTAATTTTTTGCCGTTGGCTTTGGGGGTATGATGACGGGTTATTGTTTGGCTCATTTGTATTCAGTCCTACTAGGAATTTAGGAGCGGCTGGCCACCGGTAATGGAGACTTCTAGCTAAAGGGTTTGGAGGAGATATTGCCGAATGCTGGCCTTCTGTGGAGACTGCGGCTGGCATGGCCGAGAAGTTGCTACCACCTGCACCCCTTCCACTCCCTGCAGCTGGGGGTTGGATATATTTCGTCCATGCGATATCATACCTAGGATTTAGGCGGAGGTTCATTCAAGGGCTTTGGGCATGGTGAGGGCTGCTCGGCGGGGAATCCACGGGGGGTGCTGTCGAGGACTAACTTGTGTAACAGCAGCAGTAGCCTAAAGACCACTTGGTGGCCCCAAATTTTTAGCATGCTACTGGGAGACTTGCTATCCACTGGCCATTCGGTATGTTGACTGCTTCCAAAAGAACACCCATTGCACCCCGCTAGCACTCCCCCCCCCCCCAGTTCGGAGAAAAGGGGATCTTGGGTGCAAGGCCAAATGGGACAACCCGGGAACTGCCTACACCGCCGTGGGCCATCAACATCAGAAATGAGATACAAGACTTGAATAATGAACTCATAGCAAAATGCAGCAATACGCGGGTGCAATCTCAGCCACATAAACCCCCAGTCCCCCATTGTGAGCTCCATCAGTAGAACCGTTTTTAGTTTGTCAGCCGAGAGGGATGAATTCCGAAGTCCACAAGCCCAGATAGATACCCCACGAAGACAAGCACCACCTCTATTGCCGAACTCGATACCACCGCAACGACTTGTGGTGCGACGGCGGGCTCACAAGAGAACCAAATAAAATTCTGCCTTCACATGATAGATAACCAAGCGAACAATTGGAAACTCGAGTGACCTCCCGTGATACAAGACGCCGTCGTGAAGTTCTACTATAATATTATCATATCATACAACACCCGACCTGAACGGAATTGCCATAAGTCATCATCACTACACCGCAGCGCTCTTCTATTGTATGCGGGTGCCTGAAGACCTTCAGCCGTATATCTGTGATTCGTTAGCCCTCGATATCTTACCTTGTTTACAAACGAACCTACATTTTTTCACTACTGATAGGTATTCTAGCTAGCATTATTTCCCCCCACACGAAAGGGCCTTGTCGCTAGATATCAGTGATCCGGTGTTTCTATCATCAATCCTCTTGACGATGCCCACTGATAAAATATATTTGGTGTTTGATAATAATATCATACTTGTATGCTTATCCCTAACCCGGAGAGAAAGAAAAATAAAAAATTGACCCGCCAAAGGAATAAGTACCGTACAGCACCTCCTCCAACGGCAGTATGCTATAAAAGGCTCAGGAACTACGTGCGGCGATTATAATCCCAGCGCATACCAAACCACGAAAATCACGATGAGCAATTACCACATCAGGATCCGGGAATTCAATCCGGTATCAGCAGCGCAGTAGAGAACAACCAAGAAACCGTGTTTTACGGGAACCGGCATGCTGGGACCTTGGCTCTTCATTAAGGCTGAGGACTAAATCGGCCCTACGGGGTATCACACGATAGCAGAACCCGGCTTTGGGCCGTGCTCGGCAAGGTAGCGGAAGAGAAATGGGATAAGTGTGATAATTGGAGGATGGGAAATTGACAGATTGCCCTCCGTTGTTTCGGAAACGTAACTGCAGGTTCTAGGAACTATGATACGCGGACTCTATAGGTATTTGGGTAGGGTTTCTACCAATATGTCATGCTACCCGGGAAGGAAAGAAGTAACCTGTCGATCCAGATATTGTAGCTTTAGTGGCGCGGCACTTGAGCCGGTTTCGATGGAGGTGGTATTTCGAATTGATCCGGAGCGTGGGTGTTTGGTGTTTTCGGCGAGCCACCGCATGGGATCTCTCTATCATAGATTCTCATCTGATAGTATCATAGGTGCTGCTATGATACCTCGCCTAGTCGCAGCGTGGGGAAAATCTCTGATCAAAACATATCATAGGTTATTGCCATTACCGCAGGGCCAAATTCACCAAGTATCATATAGAATTCGAGAGTTACTAATTTTGTTAAAGCCCTGTTTGGCTAACATTTTCTCGGTATCTGTAGTTGGAAAATATGTATAATATAATAATATTATAATTAAACAGCGAGGGATCTGACAACTACGGAAGTACCGTGGTGTTCCTATTTCTCTGGATTTCCACCTGCTGTCCTTCTGAAAAACCCGTCTACATCAGGACACCCCCCCCCAAATCAGTGCTAACATCATTGCGACAGAGGTTCCATAAATGAGTTTTTGCAACAATCGTGACCTGCGAACGAAGACGGTAAAATGTTTTTATCAATCATTAACCTTTGGAAATCACAGTCACGCCCGTTTTTGCAAATTCGACCCTGCGACTTTTCTTACTTCCGTCCACTCTGTCCTACTCAAGCACAGTATTTATCAACATATCATACCAATTCACTCTTCCGCCTACAACTATCCTACCCCAGCCAGCAATTGATTAATCAAATAAAGCTAGTCGAGTAGTTCCTTAGTCATAACAGCGAATTGGTTACGAGTTCAAATCCCAATTCCCAGGCACCAGGAATACTACAAAAGTTTTACTTACCGCACAGTACTTCTTTCCACTTTCACAACTATCATATGCTATCCGCAAAAAAAAAGAAGAAAGCGCAGATAAGTCGATGGAAAATCTCAAACGACTAAAGTTATTGGGACCAATGCAGATTGTCAAGATTAAGTTTGTATTCCTCCTCACCAGGCGGGGGGGGGGAGGTCTTAGATGAGGATCCGGAAAGCGATACGCTTACTACATTAAATACCAGTTCGGGTGGAAGGCGTTTTGGTATTTTGTATGTCAGATGTTGAAATATTAATCTCAATTCCATAAAAAGTTCTTGAGCTCTCTATCTTCCAGTATTGGAACATGTTACGACACTTCACGTCTGGCGAGTAGTTGAAGAGAAGCTGAGAGTCTACTTGCAAGGCGGGGGCACTGACGGGCCTGCTAGCCCCATACATATGGAAGTATTGACTTTTTAGTCCTGGATGGTGCCGTACCACTCCGTCTCTGTAAGCCCCGGCATATCCACCTACCTCATGGCATATGAGATTTGCCGACATGTCCGGCGGACTAGGGGCGTTGCTTTCCCGTGCTTGAAAACTGCGAGTGGGTTGGGGAGACGGATGGGGGGGCTTTTGATCACTCATCTATCCTCCCTTGCCTAACCTATGTCATTATAGTTATCACTATGAGCCCAAAAAAAGGGGGACTTTTTGGCAAGTTATAAGGTCGAGGCATATTAGCGTAAGCTACAATAACTCTCCGAGGGAATACAACAACGCACACTTATTACTTTTTCCCGCAGAGATTCTCCATTTCACAGGGATCTCCAGCAAGACCGGTTATCATACACCCTTTACCGGAATATAATGTGATCCTCACTTCGACTCCCCATGCACCCAAAAATTCAGACCCGTTTGCAAAGCCCTGTTTGTCAGTGATATTGAAAATGCACAGCACCTCCAGGAGGAGCGCAACATTTAGCTAGTCGCTATTCAGACGACACCGCCATTTTTCCCACCCGGGCACCGGGAAATGAGAAAACGGCATATTGGCCAGCACAGCGAGTGATCTGTGATGATCTAGGAATTATTTATTTAGCTTAGGATTAAACTGTGGATTTACAGGGGGGGGGGAAGGAAATCTCCACAATCCAGTAGTTTATAATACCATGTCCCGGGCAACCACCCGACCGGACAAATGCCATCATCCGCGACCAACCCCCGCTGCCAGCCAACACAGTATCGTGCGTGCAAGTGCAATACTTTAAACGTGAGGCTTATTCCGGGTACTGTACAGTACCTCACGCAATCGATGGATATCGCAATTAGTTGGTTAGTCAGTGCCGCTCGCTACCGGAAAACCGTGCAGAATTCCCAGGAGGAGAAATGCCCATCTCTTCCAGACCCGGGGTTGAGCGATCCTTCACGCCCCACGCGCAAAAAAACTCTACCGTGCCCGAACTGATATTGTCACTTAAGTGGGGCATGCCTCATAATCACCCAACAGCAACCTTTACTCCGAATTCCCAACTGGAGCTTGGAGCTATTTCTTATATATACTCATATTCAGTATTGCCCAGTGCCAGCGCTACGTCTCCTTCCCCCTACCATATCTATTTATCCCGAAAATATTTATGATACTGATATTTACTACCCTATTATACCTCACCCCCTCAGAATCGATCGATCCCACAACTAAACAATGCAAAAACGCAATTACACACGACTGATGCACTTCCCCCCCCCCCCACTATCCAATCTCAACAGTACAGATAATACCTGATAAACCTAGCCCACAGCACCCAACGAATCTACTGCACACCTGCCTACCCATGCATTCCTCGCAGCACCAAAAGGTGCAACCAGGCCTCAGAGGCTGGCAAGTAGCGACCAGCTTCTGGTGGATAATTCTCCCTCCGGAGAGAACATGGGTGGCTCCGCCAGCGGGGAAGGGGGGGGAGGGGTAGATGGCTGTGTAGGTGGTACAGCACTGTGGGAGCGATCGATAATACTGGTTTAGTACCATACATGTCTATAGCAAGTTACCCGCCGGACCGGGCCCGGGACCGGTATTGGATCCGTTCCCCACTTGAGATCCCGGTATGTTAGGAGGTCGTATTTGAGTGAAAGTGGAGTATTGTACTCAAGTGATCTTTTTCAACATTGTTAGCTTGGAATCCGGAAATTACTGTGCCCGAGTCACTCCTAGGAAATCATAACGGGGACCCTACTACCAAAAAAAAAACTACAACATCCCGAATCAAAAAACCAGCTTATATCTCGCCCCCCTACCCCACTTCCCGGACAAATTCCAAAAAGGTGTATATCCCCACAAAAAAGACTCCAACCCTCCTCCTCCCAAAAACCATCCTAACAATGCTAATCACTCCCAAAGCACAGGAACATTTTTTTTTTAAAAAAAAACCCCCCTAAATACCAAATTCTCACCCCACCAACACACATCTAGGGACCAGGAATACGACAGGGCAGGGCAAGTTACTCCCCGGAAACTTGGACAAAACCCAGAATTATCCGTCTCCGGGACGTCCCCTACCCACACCCAATCCCCCAAAATAGACGACTAAACTAAAACTTCTTTATAAAAGGAACTGTGGGGGGGACAACATCCCTCGGCATTACATATCCTCCCTCCAAGGCTTAAAGTGGCCAAACGACACTGCAGACTTCATTCATATTCATTACATTGGTATCATATATCGCGATACCTAGCTCACCACGGCACGTACAAGTACGATAGACAACCTCGCAAGGCGATGCGCATGTCCCCCGCTGGCCGCAGGGCCAAAACACCAAACTCGGACGGACAGCAGAGGGGGAAGGACAATGGCCTACAGAACCGATGAACCGGTCGTCCGGTGGGGAATGCTTTTTTGGGGCCGTTGCTTTATACTGCGTATAGGGAGGGAGGTGCAATGCCATTCCACTATGCGACGGATGGGCAAATTTGCCCGCAACTTAGCTTGGGACACTGTCAAGCATGGACTGTACGAGTAGAGCACAACCTCGGATTGATTCCAAAAGAATGAAAGAATGAAAGAAATCTTGGAACCAACCCCCACCAGCATTCCGTGCGAGGCAAAGACACAGAGTGATATCTCATAGCATTTCGCAATGGCCATCGTCTATAAAGGTCGGATGGAACGACCGGGCGCACAGACGCAAGCGAATAACAGACAGACTTGGCAGACGTTGAAAAGTGTTCACCGTGAAAGGTTAGAGTATCATCTGTTCTCGGTGGTATCATATGGTACTCACTCTGTACTCGTACTCGCTTGAACCAAGCGTTCATTACAGTTCGCCATGCTTCATCCAAGCACCTATCACATCACATCAGACACAGACTCACACTGCCGGGTTGAATTTATGGAGTAGGTATCGTATGTGCGGAGGCGTGAGTCGTTCGTTGGTGGGCATTTCTCCGAGTGTTTGAGCGTGCACTACTACCTCGCATTTGTAAATATTTCTTTGTATGATAAATAGTCATTCATATCCCCCCATGATAGAACGAATAAACCCTTAACCCCTTCCAAGGTAGTCTCCTCCTTCCGTTCTTGACTCCGACCGACGACGTGCTTTTCTCTTCTGCTTCAGATAATATTCGCTATCATAAATAAGTATGATATTGGTTATGATATTGGTATAATACAGCAAACTTATTCGATGCAAAAACGGCGTCAACCACCTACCGCATACATTACCATACCGATACTCCAAGGACATATATCCACCCTTACTATCCCACCTCCGTGAGGAGAGGTGGGGGGAAATAAGTGAAAAAACTTCGGAAGCCAAAAAAAAAAAACCCCCCCCGCCCCTATACAGCCTCCATTCATCAATCCTACGACCGTCGTCACCGCTTGCAAGATAATAGCTAGACAGATAGGTGGATAGATAGCTCAGAAAGAAAAGACATGCGTCTACGCATTTCCCTCGAAACACCTGGAAAGTATCACGAAAAGGCAATTCGAAACATGGAAGGTTTCTATCTATTTAGAAAAGGGAAGACGAGAGAGAAAGGGAAGGATAATTAGAGAGCATCTAACTTTCCCGATTGGCCCCGACTGCCCCATCCACCATATCATCACAACCCCCAAAGCCCAAGCCTACTTCCTCTGAGACTCAACCCTCCTCCTCAGTGATCTAGTCCTCTTTCGTAATTTCTTCAACTTATGCTTCTTCATCTTGAGTTTTCTAATCCTCTTGACGGAAAGAAGGCGCATGACCACTCGTCCGGGATTCTCATCAGGCATAGCCTCACCAGTGCGTCGTTTGCGGATCATGTGCTCGAGAAGGAGCTTGCTGTTGCCTGAGACGGCAAAAGTTCCTTCTCCTTGCGCCGCGGCCCGGAGGAGGAGTTGGATGAGTTGCTTTTGAAGTCTCGGCCTCAGGAAGGCAGTTTGCGCCCTTGGTGGTGGAGGCGGATGGAAGGGCCGGTAGGAGTAGCCCGGATTTGCCGAGTCAGCGGCACCTTGTGTAGGCTGATTCGGCTGTGGTTGTACTGCTGCTGCTTGTTGCTGCTGTTGCTGCTGTTGCTGCTGAGCGCTACCTGAGGCTGATCGGATTGCGGATTCTAACCATCCGGACTCGACCGCCACTTCTATGTGCACAAAGTCTGTTGGCGATGGAGAGTTCTGGTATATAGGGCGTTCAACGGCAGGTTTTCGCGAGTTGAAAATATTCCCGAAAAGGCTCTCCGAGTGGTTCAGTGGGACCGGGTGAGAGATACTGACTGGCCGGTGTTGGGCAAAGAAGGCTGACACTGCTACGTCTATCAAAGCAGACCAGTTAGTAAAAACTTATGACGAGAGGTGGGGAGGATTTGTACCGGCTGGATGGAGATGGTCAGTGCTAGGTACCACGGGGACCTTTGATCGCTCTCTCGCCGCCGTTGATGCGGCAGAGTTTCTCGTCCCCGCCCTAGTTGACCTTCGAACGGTAGGCGTACCAGCGATACCGCTACTAGACGTCCCATCTGAAGACTTTGAGGGCTTAGAGGGCTTAGAGGAAGATGATGACGAATAAGATCTCAACATTGGTTGGAAACGGATGGTGGGGGATGAGGTCTGTCCGATGGATACCATTGAGCGGGGGAGAGTTTGGACGCCGGCAAAGCGCGAGGTTAGCGCAGTATGGCGGAGAGAGAACATCTTGTCTACTGCTAAGCGGAGAAAAGGGGGTGCGAAGATGTCCAGACACAGAGTGAGAAGAGGAGGAGGTCCGAAGTGGAAGTGATTTGACGATGATGTGGTGATTGTTGGTGGTTAGAGGAAAGGAAGGGCGCTCTGGATGCCAAATCCTGGTTCAGTTCGAATGGCGCCGCAGTGCCAAGACATCCCCAAGACAGGAATGCTGACTCTCTTTGCATCTATCCCGCTCTTGAACTTTTGATGATGAAATCATGGGCAAATAATAATTGTTAAACTCTCTGTCTATAGAATCTCAACTAGGCTATAACTGAGCGGTGCGGAATTCTCATCAGCGTCGAGGGAACATTTGTTAAAATTCAGATGGAACCGCCCCCTCCCCGAACTAGGGACAAGAGCAAACTCGAGTGAAAAAAAAAAAAAATGAAAAAAAATGCTAAAACAGGTGCTCGAAATATGGACTTTGAAATGAAAAGGAATTATATACATACATAAGATATATAATACACGAAAGAATTTTTCGGAACCACCAAGAAGATGGGCCTATTCCCAACCTCTCGATCCCAGTGCCTCCCTCCCGTTTTTATATATCTGGTGTCTGGCAGCTGTCTGCATGCACTCCACAAGCTGGAGGAACCAGAAAACAAAAAAATAAAAATAAAAATAAAAACAATAAAAATACCACATCGAAACACCCATACGATGCCACCAGCCCCCGAGAAATAGGAAAAAACAGAATAAAAAACCACCAGCCACAGAACCGGACAAAAAGTACTATATTCCCTCCCAAAAGGAACCGGAAGTAAATGCTACCCCTACTCATCTAATGCTCCCCATCAAGTCTCCAATAAGGACAGATGATACACGAAAACAAAAGAAAAAAAGTTCAAACCTCTTCATTAACGATAGCGAGAGCTGTAATCGGCCGGCGTAGAACGAAAATCATGTAGAAGAAATAGCGAAACCAGCAAGTCGTTCAACCAAACACCGCAGCCGTTTGTCGAAAACAATTGGTGATAAAAATATGGAATAAAATACTGACTTTCAATGTCGTCGCGCGTTGCAATTGTTCACCATTTCAAAACATAGTGGTAATGGCTTAAAGCCTCTTGCCTCTATCCATCACGGATCATAAATGAGTTCATTGCACACTTTTTCCCCCTCATACCCCCACACTTCCCGGCAAATATAATTTCTTTGTTTTCATAAAGCACTTACAGAACCAGATTTTGAAGATTTTTCTGGAGTATCATGTCCTGAACACTGGACATCGTGATCTTGAGCAAATTTGTGTCTGTAGCGTTTGTAAAATGAACATAGATATCCTAGTTTGTTATATTGTTAGAACCAAACCCTAAATGTGCCGGGCACAGAAAGGACATACCTTTGAAGAACTTCGATTTAACCTCTTGAAGCTCTCCTCAAAATACATCGAGGCATGCTTGTATGACTGTGGATCACCAGTGTAGTCGGGGAAATACTTCCTTACCGGTGAATTCGGCAACTTTTTCTTGAACAAGTCGATCTTGTTCAGAAAGAGAATGATTGAAGTCTGGACAAACCACTGCGAATTGCAAATACTCTCAAATAGCATCAGAGCTTCTTGCATTTGATTCTAAGTCAACGTTAGCCACCAACCCAGTCCGATCGTCCAATCACACAATCAATACGTAACGCCACTAGAAAAACAAAATAACTGGCATGAGCATCAAGAACATACAGCGTCTTTATCCTCGACCAAACACTGGTCATATCCACTAATTGCAACCAAAAATAACAAGGCGGTAACATTTTCAAAACAATGAATCCACTTCTTGCGCTCAGATCGCTGCCCGCCAACGTCGAACATACGGTATGTCAAAGCACCCAAGTCAAACAATGTCTCACTTATTCCAGTGGTCTTTAATCTGGAATGGAGAATATCTTGATCAGTCGGAATGTAGTTGGGGACAAATAACCGGTCTAGCGATTCAAAAAAACTAAAACACGGGATTCTCCTATCAGTTGCCATTCTCAGGTCTCTGGCCCCCAAAGAGCAAAAAAATGCGGGGGGAACAATAGAGCCGAAGACACTGTCAAACTCACTAATTCAAATTATCGTGCAGCGCGAACTCATTCCCCCGGTGCACCGCTGTCTGAACACCACCATCTGCCCACAAACTTTCAAAGGCCCTTTGGTACTCCTTAGGGAAAGGTTCTTGTCTGCCCAATTCGCGCTCCATGATGACCAGCTCAACATGTGCCTAAGACATTGGCAATCAGTACCAAATAGAACAAGAATTAGATTCGACAATACTGGGAGATAGCGCACTTCGTTTTCGTCGTTCTGAAATGTCAAATCGTACGATTCCATAGCTTCCAGGATAATCTTGAACGAGTTCAACAAGTTGGAGAAGATTATTACGCGGTAATCATCTCTGTCGTTTTTGGAAAAACCAGACGCATGGATCAGCTTCATCTGCTTGAGAATGGTGGACTTTCCACTCTCGCCAGCTCCTATCGATAGACCACGCTGCATTAGTACCTATTGGCAGATCATAAACCAACAACGATGGTTAGATATCCAATGGATTAGTCACAACAACAACGGTACCTAAGAGCAATAATTTAACTTCCTTTGCCATGCGCTTCTCATCCTGTCGTATCAACCGCTCGATCTCACGAGACCTTTGAGCACCCGTATCAGGGGTTCCTCCCATGCACATCTTTAACAAGCGCGCCACGACTAAACGGAGTTTTTTTTTTAGACACCCCAGAGACAAGGCAAGTGCGGAATTTATGAATGGGAATAGCTGGAGAATAAAGTGTTATAGTGGATAATATTTTTCCGAGGCTAACAGTGTGAAATGGGAGGGTGGAAATGCTATGTGATGCCGGCAGAGGTGGCAGTCTTCGAGAAGGGAATAAGGAAGCCAGAGAAGAAGAAAAAGAAGGAAATACGCCGGTCTTTGTGCGTCGGAAGTGAATGTATGTAATTCCCTAGGGCAAGGCCTAATTCAACCTGGGTCAGTAAAAGCAGTAGGCAACTAGTATCCGGACAGGAGGAGAAAGACAGTGAGTGTGGCACACGAGTAAGGATGAGGTTTCCTAGAGTGTTAACTGATCTCATGTGGTATGGAGTCTAGTTCTGGCAACGCATCGAGCGTGTGGAAGGGAGTGCTCCAAAGGTAACCGAGAAAATGAAGTTGGGTATGATTTTGGGGCGCAACATCGAACAAGAAAGGAAGTACAGTACGTAAATAGACAGGCATCTAATCATAATCGAACAAACAAAAAAAGCATCAAAGGGAAAAAAGGCTTACCACTAGATTTACCACGGGTCTTTGCAGCCTTGAAAAATAATAACAACAATAATAATAATAATAAATGTACGCCCAAGAACTCAATGTTTATCTAGGTAAGTACAGTACCAGGGGGGGGGGACGAATGAGGCGGCCGGTAAAATAAGAATACCAGAAGGGACCAAATAAATAAACTCAGGCAGAAAGGTAGAGGTCTGCCGAAGGACCACCGCACTAATAAGCAGATTAAGGATTAAGCGAGTACCGGCACTGCAGCTGTTTCGACAGAGCTCTGTTCGAAAGAGAGAAAGTGGCAGACAGGGGAAGGATCCGATGCTCAATTATATGATACTCTTTTCTCCGGTGCAGCCGTTGTGGGATTGACCGGATTGAATGACAGAATTGATGGATCGGGATAGGGTATGCTGATAAGAGGCAAAACCCTCGAACCGCTAGAAGGTAGGAGCGTGATATCGATCTAGAACAGCCACCACAAAACAGGGAGCAACAAGCAAGGAATCAATTGGAAGGATCGAAAGAGAAAAAGGGAGAGAGGAGTTGAAGTTTTTAAAAAAGAAAACGAACTCTGAGGTGAATGGCGGCGGTTTAGACTCGCACAGGGAAAAGAAAGTGTACCGCTAAATAGTGATAGGAGGAGGAGGAGGGGGGAGAGAGGGAGAGAAACAAGAAGGTTTTCCCTATTTCACTTTCTCGCGTCGAGAGCCGGTTGAGCACCGCAGCAGCAGAAGATGCTGTATCCTGTAGCCTGTAACACTAGCAGAAAGCAAGCAACCAAGCCCTCACCCCCATCATCTTTTTTGTTTTTTCCTTCTTCCCCCACCGGGGAGGCGAAGCGAGCCATCGCCTTTGTCACTACGGTACCGCTCCTCTCGAGCTTTTTAGGAATTTCGTTAAGGGTCCAAGGACAAAAGGATCAAGGATGGAATGGCAAAAAAAAAGATGGCGAAATTTTCCCTATGCGTGGGTCGGCTGTCAGCTTTTCCAGGCTAAGAGCTGCTAGCGCAGGTATCATATCGTAAATGTCCTGGTATGGGATCCGCAGACTGTGCGATGAGTCCAATGTGTGCAAGTCCTCGTTTGTATGATGCGATTAGACTATTCACTCCCCACGAGTACTGAAGCAGAAGTACTGTAGAATGTACGGTGCTGTAGGAGTAACTGTACGGGTACTATACAGGAACTTTGACAACTCCAGCCAGATCCGGTGATAAACGGTGATCCTAGCACAGTAGAGAAACGAAATGATACAACCTTCTCCACGCGGGCCTAACTAAGGACGCTCAGACAGATTTGGAAACTTTAACACGAGTGAAAAAGGGGGGAGCGTGAGGGAAAAGAAAAAAGGAGAAAACAAAAGAAGGCTGATATATATTGCGATCGTTGCCATCAGCTGTTTGAGAGGCAGTCGGGTTTCCTTCGTCTTCTATGATACGGCAGACGGTACCGTGGCTAGTATTGTCACCAATCAAAAGTAACTGAGCACATCCCAGTGGCAACGCGAAACACTTTCCACAGAACCTCCCCAAACTGGCCAAGAACTATATAGGTAAGGATCTTTATATTATGATACGAGTAGTGAATAGTGAGTGCTCATTAAGCCGGGAAACTACCGGTACCTCGATAAGAGCTTTCAATCAATCCATCATCATCGTCTGTCCTACGGTTCCAAAAAGTAAGTCATTTCATGGAGTCGCCGCAAAACCGAATTAAACCCACTTCTGTTTACAAGTACTGTACTTGTACTGTACTGTACCGAGAAATATCCACGGTTGTTATTATTATACCCGCAGCCGCTCAGTTACCCCCCCCCCTGGCAGGAATGGCAGTACTCGAGTAGCAGAAATTGGCCTCTTCCACCACCACCCCCCTCCAGCGTGGAAGTTACCGTCGAAGGGCGGGGAGAATATTCCAATCGCACTCAATTGTCCCAAACCTTCACTTCCTCCTAACTACGATGCGCGCTGCGGTGATGGATGAGCGTTTTACCACCGCCAAAGGAGCTGCCAACTATCCGATGCTTCGATATCATTCGGCTCATGATATGTAGGCAGTTCTTTATGATATACGACCTGCAAGATCAGCCGAAAATGTAATGAATTGTGCCCCAGCGAACCGGCGTCCGCTTGTCTTCGGAGGAGGCGGTGAGGTGGGGAGAGCGCCATGCTACCTGATCTCAAAGCCAAGATAGATGCTAGCAAGGGTTCAACTCGCGAAGAAACGGCACGGCAATGCGGGAAAGACGCCCAATCCGCACTCTGCCCGGACAGCGAGCGCCAAGCAGGAAAGATGTGTCTTTTACTGGTAGAAACTCCCTCTCTCTCTCCCTCCCAGAGGAGGGAAAAAAGGAGTCCATCAGTCAGGAAGAAGAAGAAAAAGTAAAGAAATGAAAAAAGTATAAAAAAAATGAATCTAAAAGACAAAGGATGCCTCAATTGAAACAGCACGATCCGATTTAGACCTCACATTGAGATGGGATTGGATAATCGGCTTCCCCGCTACTCGCACAGTAAGTAAACTTAGATACCTGTCCCAGGCCATGGGTACCCGAAAAACAGGGATTAAAGTAATATATGGTAAAATATCTGTGCGTATCCGACCGCCAATGCAAAAATACTCCCCCCGTTTTCGGGCGCTCGTGGCCTGGGACAAGCACACATCCACGGGTCTCGAGATCTTTACAAGTAGAATGGGGTTTCTTCACGGCAAGTTTCCAAAATCCGCTTTTGTTACTCGTAATATTCCCCCCCTCTTCCATCCTTCCTTCTATGATAGGGGCAAGGGAACGGAACTGCCGAATCAAAGCCCATCAAATGCGATATATAAACCGGCCGAGGAAAACCTTGCGAACTGATAAGGGGAGGCGGTCTGTGCAGCAAGGGTCAGTTATCCTGCCTTCTTGAAAGAAACCACACTTGTACCATCGTGTGTTTCTGCTCTCCCGTTATAATACCGGTGGACCAACCTTTTTGCAAAGGGTATCATTTTCTGCAGGGTTACTGCTTGCTCGGGTTGCCACGCGACCTGAAGTCACACCTCTGGATCTTGGGAAGCACGAAATCCCATAGATAAGAAAGAAAAGCAAAGGGGGGGGAAATTACAGTACTCGAGTACAGTGGCCGGACTTGGGGGGGGGGTATTGGCGGGATAGGATGCCAGTACGTGTACTGGTACAGCAGCAGCAAGAGAGAGAGAGGGCGTTTAGGATGGGTGAGAGGGCAGAGCTCCGGGGAGAGAATCCCCAGGATTGACCGACTCCTGAGTTTACTTGTTGGGATTTCAGCGCCAGCGAGTGGTCGCTGGGATGCAAACACTGTACCGGTACTCGAGTACCGAAAGCCTCGAACCATTTCAAGAAATCGCGACAATAATAGGAAACTTTGTCCGCATTCTTTCTGTAGCTTAATGTATCATATTACGTTGCCTGCCACAACTAATAATCTAGAGTACGGTACTGTACTGTACGCCACCAATCCCTCGATCCCTCTTTGTTACTATAGACCTGGATGGCAGAACCCAACCACTAATAAATTAAGCCACCATCCCCCCCACTTTATCCCAAACCACTCCTCCGCCATCCCCATGCAGAAATCACTTTCACGGTATCATACAGTACTGTACCAGTACAGTAGCACCGAAGTAGAGAGGCATTGTAGCCGGTGACCGTAAAGCAGTGGTACCGTATACGATGCGCACTCGAGTGAACCCATAGAAAACATATCACACCCAAAGGTAGTTTTAAGGTCCTGTTTGGCAAGCCAGCATATAAGAAACGCCATTTTTCTTGAAAACTCAGCTTTTGCTAAAAACTCGGATCCCTCTGGCCAGAGACCCACGCGCATGGAAACTACCTTACCGACCATTGCGATGAGCACAAAAATCAATTAGGAGGCCCGCACCTGTTCACCGAGCTGTTGCCAAAAAAAAAAGTGCAGGATTTAAAAATATTTCATTTGCAACAGGAGTGCGATAAAACACCGTTCCTCGGCCGTGCCAAACGGGGCCCGAAAAAAAGAATAAAAGAAAAGAGAAGGATGGAAACGCAAAGGACGGGGAAAAAGGGTCTCTCATAGTTAGCAAAAATCACCAACTACCTTCTCCGATGCAAATAACATACTGGCACAGTACAAAAGCCACCCGTACCGCACCGTACTTACCGGTACAAGTTGACGACACCGGTCCGATCGGAGTTTTCACACGGCAGAAGGCGCATTTCCTCTGGCACTCGGAGCAAGCCACTAACTCTGATCCTGCGCGTGCTCGGAAAAAGAAAGAGGAGGGGGGAGGGGGTAGACAAAAGGAAAGAAGCGAAAATATGGAATAAGTGGGAAAAAGTAAGCTTAACTTTTTATTTTTTTGCCCCACAGTGTTGCGTTGAACGAGTACGGTAGGGTACTTCTGGCGTACAATACAGCACAGCGATTAAAAGAAAAAGAAGAAACCCTTGCTTACTCCATTCTGGCGAGCTGAACAAACAATGGTGACGCTGGTATGATATTATGATACATGGTCTTTTAAGGGGAGAGAGCATGGAGGTGCCGGGATATCACAAAGTATCACTCGAAGAACTCGTTCAATTCAGCTTATACCAGCCACCCAGAATTATCTCCTTTCATCCTTGGTTCCTTTCACTGCCACCGGTAGCCTTTCCTTCACACCCCCCCTCTATCTTTCTCTCAACTTCCCTATCGTACCTCGTTCAACCCTGGTATGCCGCTTCCCCATCATTTGTCATCTCATATCCTTTGTCTTCTCCCCTCCGTGCTTTGGCGTTCGCTAGCTTGGGAATCCCAAACAGTATTTGGAGTTTTGGCTGTCCCTCCGGCGCAGGTTGGTAGAAAGGATGGGCTAGCGTAGCGTTTCAAAGGGCTGGTACTGGAGTGCTGTACTTGGAACGGTATGGGAACCTTGGTGGAACAGCTGTAGCCAAGCCCCCGAACGCTTACCGTAGTTTTCAAGTTAGTGGATTTGAAATTGTGACAATCATACTAGGGATCCCGATATTTTTTCTTAGCCTCATGTCACACAATTACTTGTACAGAACTTCAAATTCGCCAGTTTCCGGTAGCCGAGCTCCTCGCACTATCTCCAGCAGTTATCCGTGATTGCTCAAACCATAGGTTTTGTTCACCCCGTATTGGTACTAAAACAAGTGCTCACTCTATTTCTATATACTGGCAGTCCATATCCCAGACTTGTGCTCTAGTGAGTGCCAGTATGTCAGATAAATATTCACTCTAGGATTATCGAAGAAAAGAAAAAAACCCTGATCATTCCGACATTGCGTGGGATCACACATCTGCTGGGTTGTAGCGTTTGTGATCACTCCTGGCTGCATCACTCCTTTCTTGGCGACGTATGATACTAAGAAAGTTTGGCCGAAAGTAGGGTAACTGTAGCTCTGCAACGACAGTCCCTTGGCAAAAGGTGATCGTCACCTGCATCTTTGACATCAAAAGTAGGCCATTTTTTGCAGCGACCCAACAACACCATTTAAACCTCGATTGATTATGTATAAATCATTTCTAGGTATCATCTCCTGATATGGACTTCACAATAGCAAAATTTCAGCCTGATCAGATGTGTCTTGCGTAGTCAGGCTGTAGAAATTGGAATTTTTATGCATCATAAAACAAGTACATTTTTCTATGGTTTGTCCATACCTATTAGGGTTCTCGAATCACTGAGGGTTCAAGTTGGGATCGAGTTTTGCCGATTACGGAGTGTTTTCAGCGGTACGATACCTTGCCCCACCGACCATGACTTATATCCAGGGACTATAAAATTTCACCGAGGAAACGTCCACTGGCTCGGACTCACAAACCTTCATTCTTCTCAACGCAACATCGCGAGATCAAGGTCAGTTGGGCAACGCGCGCATCCTTCATTTTACGAGGCTAATAGTAAGAAACGACGGAATAGGTCCGGGGACAAGCACAAGCACATATACAGCGAACTGCAACAATGTCTGCCGCTACGAAAATAATTGCTACCTTGAAAAGTATCGGCAGTGGGTTTTTTCCCTTCCCGATATTCGTGGAGATTGAGCGAGTAGATTGACTGAATCCCGCGTTCCCCACCAGAATGGGCTCAGGAGAATCAAACCCTCGCGGTAGGTTTGGGCGGTGTGGGAGTGCTCGTCGCCAATGAGCGGTGCGGGCGCCGGGATATCAAAGCTGTGCTCGCCCGTCTCCGCGCCCATGTTGATGACGAGCTTGCCGATATTAAGAGCGAGGTTGAGTTTATTAATGCAATGAGTTTATCAGCCTCGTTACGCCGGCCCGGTGTCAACAACGCAGGGACCGGTGTTAAGAACCGCAGTCAGGATGATGAAGCCCATTGATGGAAACAAGGTGGAAATGAGAGAATTTGTCAAGGAGGCGGAGAAGTTGTTGATGGAATAGTCCCCATAGAAATATGTCAGAGTGCATCGACCTAGATTTTTGTATGTGTATTGCCTCTTGGCATGCATCCTCTTCTTGTACATATTATATACAGGAGACCTCGACTCTTGAATCAAATCGCTTCACACCTTTTTCCGAACTGTCCGTCGAACACATCCACTCTCTCCACCGCGCAAGCGTTTTCCTCCTATATATACTGGCCGTGATTGGTGTCGCCGAGATTCGTAGATATATAAAATCAATGACACGTACAGGTGTGGTACCAAGCGGCATTCTGAGGGATGGGGTGCTCTTTGCATATATCTAATTGAAAGAGGCGCATATACGATAATTTTATGCTTGTTTTTATTTTAGAAAAGGAACGGAAGAATTCTCGGAAAAAGAGGTAGAAACTATGATAAAAACACACCTTCCCAAATTAAGTAATTCTTGACAAATTAGTTGGGTAGAGTCCTATTAACTTCCAAAGTTTTTTTTTTGCAAAAGTCCCATAATCTCACCCTCCATGCTACTCGTGCAAGCTAGATACGTCGAGTTTTCGGGTATGATGATTGCGGGGGGAGCAGACCAGCCACACACACACACAACCTTGGCACGAGTAATCCGATTCGGAGGGAGGAAGGGTGCTGGAATGACAAATGCTGCTCGGCATGCTCAGATGCTCGGATGCTCGGATGCTCGCGAGGTTGTTTCATTGTTCGAATAAGGGTTTCGGATATAAGCTATGCCTTGGATTAACGAATCTAGGTGAGGGGATGATGTACGATATCCGTCGGGAGTATTATGGGAGAGTGTCTGAGGGACTGCCCCCGCGGCGGAGTGGGGGCTACGGACAGTCGGAGTATTTGTGAAGCCCGCCTTTAATGTGTTACGTAGGTAGCGCGGGAGTGTTCAAGGTACGAGTGGAAGGGAAACACGTGTGAATATGGGTGGTGATACATGGGGGATGGGAGGATGATTCGGTTATGGTTTATGCTCCTTGTCCTTTACCGTCTAGTTTACTGTTGTTGGTTGAGTACCGTACTCGTACAGCAGGGAGCAAGTGGAGTGAGAATGAACTTTCCCCATTTCCCCCCACTTATCCCAAAGTCGTGGTGGTGTTCTGTTGCTATTATATTACAAGTATAACCCTGGACGTTCAAGTTTTAGTCCATCGCCGTTCAAAATCCTACTGGAAGGAATTGTATTCAATTCCGATCATTCCACCTGACTTAGTATCAACCCTTGTATTTGCGTGTTACACATAGCACTACAAGTACTGTACTCGTAGGGAATGGTATGATGCCGTATTTTCTCGTCTTCTGGTTTTTCGCCAAGACCGGGCACCACTTAAGGCTTCGGTGGTGCCTGGAGTCTGAAATGGTCCCTCCAAGGTTCCCAGACAGCTCAGTACAGTCACCAATGTGCGGATTATAGGTCTCCATAAAACAATGAGGCTGCGGCCTTGCAGTCACTCATCTACGAGTACGGTACAGTCCAGTATATTTATGTGGTCGAGTTGAAGCTGCGCACCCAAAGATAGCTTTAGTGCGGTAATTTAGCGACCATTGGGCCAACAGGAATTAGCATATCATAACTTGTATTTTTCTTCGTGTGACTGAGGGCTGGAATAGAGAAACCTTTTCGCTGCATTTTTTTCTCTCCCCTTGATCCTTGGATCCGGAGGGGATTCGAATGTCCTAGCGTGCTTCTCGATTATTCCAGTTTTTTTTTTTCTGCACGGCAAGTTACCATACCGATATTCGAACAAGGAAGGGAGGAGTGGAAAAAAGAGGGTTCCCGGGCCCCAATTGCATTGTACTAGTACTAGTACAGTAAGGTACGGGGATGGTAGGTTTTGCTGGGAGCGAAGGGCTAGAGAACAGGTATTCCACTGGATGGGATTCCGCGGGGCGTTTATCAATTATGGTTGCGCAGGGCAGAAATGTTTCCTGGTTCTGTGCGATGCCAGGAGTAAAATTCCAGTCGGAGAAGCTCGTTGGTTGTTTCATCGAAACATTTCTCCACCAGGATGATAGATTCTTGAACAATCCCCACTCGTATGAGTGCTACCGGTACAGTACAGTACTAGCTGTTGATTTGCGGTTGTTTTTCCTTTTTTCCTTCTTTTCCCCCCCCCCTCCTCTATTCCGTATGTGCTGGGGAGTGGAAGAGAATCGGGTTAGCGGGGAGTGGTGAATCCATTGTAGGATTTTTGATTTTGTCTCGCTATTTGGGGAGTGTGGGTGGGTGGGGTTCTGCTGGACGAGTGTTGCCTGCTTACTCCGTCAAGACCGCACCCTTGCTCGCACCTTCGCTTGAGAGGGTAAATGATGAGCTTGCCTGTGTCCCCGCTGCCATCGGATGTTGTGACAGCGGGTTTGAGCGCTGATTTCAAAGTTGTCGTCGGACTCCACCTGATCTACAATTCAGCGCCGTGCAAGTGAGATTTCGGGTAATTGGGCCGTGTGCTATGCCCCTGGAGTCGCCTCCTCTGGTGTCTTTCAGAGAGCAATGTCTTTCAGAGGGGCTGAACGACACGGTCCAGTTATTTGAGATTCTATACGAGTAATACTGTGGTCTGGACCTGAAGATGGCATCGGACTTACCGGCAGTGCTTTCCATATCAACCCCTTAACAACACTTAAGAGCAGTAAGCAAGATAGAACAAACACCCCTAACTAACGGCGCAAGTTGACTCTAACGTGCGAAGCACAGTCGGTGGAGAATTTACCTTTTGACGATTAGTCTACATTTATTCACTCTCTCATTCAATCACCCACCGCTATTTCTCTTCCCCCCTCCTTGAGAATGCGGGATGATAGAAGGCCCCTTTCTTCATCCCCCCCTTTTCCTATGATACCGGTACTTTCTTCCCACTCGCTCGCTCGCTTGTATCCGATCCACTGCCGTGCCGACGCTGTACGAGTCCCGGTACGATATCGCATCTCACCAGGAACTTTTTTACCAATTTGTAATCGCCTGCGGCTATCACCACCTCACCAAACCCCTTGTCACCGGCAATCCATCGGGCAGTCGTCGGTGAACGTAGGTACGGTACTGTACAACCACCCAGGGATATGTTTTCGCACAAGACGGGGATTAATTTTCGGGTTAACCTAAATTAACTCTGCGAAAACATACTCCCGGGTATGGTGCTTGTACCTAGTATCATAGGTAAAAAAAAGAAAAATAGCTGTTATGCACTGATGCCTGTGAGTATATCATAACCCGCCAGTTTTCGTCATGCCCCCGTTGAAAACTGTATCTATCCGTCGCTATCATAAATTGTACGAGTTGATCAATCAATCAATCAGGTCCCCCAAGGAGATGAATAAATTATATTGAACCCAAGGAGATGAAAGCGCGCGCACTGACCCGAACCGAAACCCCAGGGCGTTTGCTCATTATCACATCCCGCTACCGGTTCCATAATCTAACGTAACGAATTCACCCGACACCAGGCTGAGCTGAGCAATTTCAGATATGACAAACCCGGACCTCTCCCTTCCGCCATCGCACAGGAAAGAGGTACGGTAAATTGACAAAAAAGAAGAAAAAGCTTCCTTCAGGGCGCCGCCACGTGCATGTCATCGGCAATTTTTTTCCCCCCCCTACAAGCTACGCGAGCCAGCCGTGGCTGCTCCTTATGGTGGAGGGGAAACCTTCATCTCCACAACCGGACCGTTGTGTAGCCGTACTCGTACTGTATTGTACGAGTAGAGAAAGGGAGGAACCGAAGTGGGAAAAAGAAAAAAAGAACCCCCCCCCTCCTTGCGGACTGTTTTAGGTGTCGTATGCGGCTCTGGCGTTTCTCCCATGGGAATGAGGGCAGGGAAGGGAAGATGAAGTGCATTGATACATTACTGCTCGGTGCCGGGTTAGAGTAGTCATTACTCATAGCACCGCAGCGGTTCGTTGTCGATTTCGGCTATTGGAGATGGTGAGTATCATACCGTAGGTAATGGCAATCGGTGATGAGAAGTTGTGAACCTTGGGGGACAGGGGCAGAGAGGGAAGTGGCGGGAGTTTCTTTGATGGCATCTTGGAGGGAATCAAGTTCAGCGCAGGGATGCGCATCTCAAAGTGTTGGGATTCTGGTCCGTCGTTCGAGAGGGTGGAGTACGGGAGGCGAGTGATTGGGAGTGATGGGGAGTGATGGTTTGGTCGAGAAGGATGTGAATTGCCCCGTATGGGCTGGAATTCTTGACTTGTAGTACCATATTTCCCTCGAGCTATTATATGATACTATCACATAATTCCTCCATCCTAACAGACATCCTACCCATCAACCAAGCACCTCTTTGACGACAACCTAGGGTGTGCAAAAGGCTCCGTCAGTATGAGCAAGTAAACGTATTAAACGAGTGAGCGACGGGTCACCAGCCCATAATCCACTGTGGACCTTCCGTCTGGGACGGTTGGGAAGACATTTAAGGATTCGCGGAAACAAGCAGGACATAATACCTGCAGGCCGCCAGACCAGTCGCCTAGGACAAGGCCATGTCCGAGGTAGGCTCGGCGTGCTGATCTGGTGCGTCCGACATGCAAAACTACAGCGGGTCAATAATGATCTGTAATGAGAGCGGGGACAGTAAACCGGAATGACTCACACGCTATAGGAAAGGTTAACAGATATCTTGTGTTTACAATGTTAATAGTAATCAAACCGCAATACTCACTTTCTATGTTGCTCAAATAGTTGTGAGAAGCATAGAGGGTCAGGGGGAGAGCTGAGAGGAGGGAATATGATATATAAATACTAACGAGCTGTGATGTAATAACAAGTATGCGTTATAACTTGCGGCAGTGTGCCTAGAGGTTTGCATACAAACTAAGAGTGACAAGCAGTAATTGGTTGGCCTTCAGAAGAGGTAATACTATCTGGTGATCTGCAATACTTACCTCCTATTGAGGAGAGCAAGTGGTAAGTTAGCCGGGTATCAACAGCAAGCGAGGCCGTTAGAAATTGTGAATTTCATACAAGCTATGCCCGCGGGAGAGACACGTCAGTAAAGTAGAATCGAGAAACGGCCGGGAGTACGCAGTGCAGCTTACCGCATAAGGGGACCAAGTGGCCGGGTATCAGCAGCTGTCGTCCGAGGACTGTGTTTGATCCTGCCCACTTACATCCTAGGACACTCAGCGGGCCAGAGATTAACAATCGCCTCGTCCGAGAACTATGGTTGGTCATATTTACTTGCTACAACACTCAGCGAGAAAGAAGTCAGCAATTGTCTCGTCTCAGAACCGTGTTTAGCCGTGATCACTTACTTGCTAGAACAGGCGGCGAACGAGAGGTCAGCAATTACCACATCCCAGAACCGTGGTTGATCCTTCACACTTACTTGCTACAATACTCAGCGAACCAGAGGTCAGCAATTGCCTTATCTCGGAACCGTGGTTGATCCTGATTACTTACTTGCTACAGCACGCAGCGAGCCAGAGATCAGCAATTGCGCTGTCCCAGAACCTTGGTTGATCCTGTTGACTTACTTTCTACACTCAGCGAGTCAGAAGTCAGCATCTTCCTCGTCCTAGCACTGTGGCTGATCCTGTTCACCTACCCACTACAAGACTCAGCGAGCCTGAAGTCAGTAGTTGCCTCGTTCCAGAATACTTTTTGATCTTATTCATTTACCAACTACGAGACTCAGCGAGTCCGAGGTCAGCAATTGCCTCGTAGAACCGTGGTTGATTCTATTCACTCACTTGCTACAACACTCAGCGGGCCGGAGGTCAGCAATCGTCTCGTCATAGAACACTGTTTGATCATGCTCACTTACCAACTACAAGACTCAGCGGGCTAGATATCAGCAATCGTCTGGTCCCGGAGCCGTGGTAGATGCTGCTCACTCACTTCCTAGAACGCAGTGAGCCAGAGGTCAGCAATTGCCTCGTCCCAGAGCCGTGGTTGATCCTGCTCACTTACTTGCTACAAGGCTCAGTGAACCGGAAGTCAGCAATAGCCGTGTCCCAGAGCCGGAACTGATCCTGTTCACGTACTTGCTACAACACTCAGGGAGCCAGAGATTAGCGATTGCCTCGTCCCAGAACCGTGGCTGACCATGTTCACTTACTTGCTGCAACACCCAGCGAGCCAGAGGTAAGCAAATGCCTCATCCAAGCCTTGCAATGGGTCGGGCCTTTGTTGGGCTAGCCCGGGCTATTCGTTGGGCTGGGTCGGGCTCATTGGGCTGGGCTCACTCATGGGCTTCCTTGGGCTGGGCCGGGCTGAGGGGGGGACAAGCCCGGCCAAGGATTAGCCTTATTTTTAAGGTTTGTATGGTGTCTTGCAATCCGTATCACCAGGGAAATGATTGTCCGAGCACATGGCTTTCCGGAAGCACGTTACTACAAGCGGTAAAATCCAACCCAACCATCTCTATATCTAGAATGTTTAGTGCAGAACTAATCCATATTGGATTCATGTGCTCTCAGATTGTCGCGCAGTTTGGAGGTTTGAAAGTTCAGATCTCGTCTTGCCACCCATTGAAATATCAGATCTTTTCGGTATCTCCCTCCTTCCTATTTCCCACACCTAAGTTGACCTCTGATCTCGCTTTCCATTTGTTCCTAATACCAATACAAACCTGATGAGCTTCTCTTCTAACAGCGGTAGTTTTCTCTCAAGTCCTCCACCTATTCTGTGATCACCAAGTCCACAAGCAGAATTTCATCACCATCGATTCTACGAGTCTGAGCTTCCAGGTTCAGAACACTTGGGATCAGGAATTAGACCACGATTGCCTATTACCACCAAATGCCAGTATCAACCAATCATGAAAAAAGAGAAAAAGCACACTTCCTTCCTCGTGGGTATGGGGTACTCCGGAGTCTCTTAATGGGAAGTTAGTGATTGAGTCAACTGAGTACCTCCGAAGTTGGCAGTCCATATAAAATTCACTCTTTCTATTGAAAATAATCACTACTATTGCTCACTGTGTTGTGTTCATCTCCTATTTCAAGCACCATCTGTTCTCATTGGCAATTCTGTATTTTAATCTAGTATTAATAGATCTGCATTCATCTCTTTTATGGCTGTTCACCTGTGCGGAGGCCCGATGGGCTCGTTGGGTTAGCCCGGGCTATACTTCCTTGGGCTTGGCCGGGTCGGCCTTTTTTTCGACCTGGGCTAGCCCATTGCAAGGCTTGGCCTCATCCTAGAACCGGGGTTCATCCTGCCCACTCACTTGCTGCAACACGCGGCGGACCAGAGGTTAGAAATTGCCTCGTCCCCAATACTGTGATTGATCCTGCTAACTTACTTGCTGCAATACCCGGAGAGCTAGAGGTAAGTAATTTCGTCCGAGAACCGGTGTTCACCCTGCCCACTTACCTGCTACAATACTCGGCAGGCTAGAGGTCAGCAATTGCGTTGCCCAAGAACAGTGATTGATCCTGTTCACTTACCCACTACAGGATTCCACGAGGCTGGGGTTAGCAATTACCTCGTTCCAACCGTGGTTGATCCTGTTAACTTACTTGCTATAACATTCAGAGAGTCGGAGATCAGCAGGTGCCTAGTCCCAGAACCGTGGTTGATCCTGTTCACTTACAACCTACAACATTCAGCGAGCTAGAGGTTATCAATGCTATGTCCCAAAGTCGTGGTTGATCTTGTTCACTTACAATCTAGAGCACTCAGTAAGCCCGAGGTCAGCGGTTATATCATCTCAGAACCGTGGTTGATCCTATCCACTTACTGGCTACAACACTCAGCGGGCCAAAAATCAGCAATGGGGTCATCCCAGAACCGTGGTTGATCCCGGTCACTTACGTCCTACAATACTCCACAAACCGGCGGTCAGCAATTGCGCATCCTAGAACCGCGGCTGATCCTGTTCGCTTACAACCTACAACACCCAGTGGGCCAGAGGTCAGTAATCGCTTTGTGATACCTTGGTTGATCCAGTTCACTTACATCCTTCAACACTCAGGAGGCGCGAGGTCAGCAATTGCCCTGTCTCAGAATCGTAGTTGCTCTTGCTCACTCACAACCTGCAACACCCAGTGGATCAGAAATCAGCAACTGCTTCGCCCCAACACCGTGGTTGATGCTATTGGCTTACCCACTACAGCACTCAGCGAACCAGAGGTCAGCCATTGCCTCGCAGGACCGGGGTTGACCCTATTCACTTACCGCCTACAATACCCAACGAGTCAAAGGTCAGTAATCGCCTCGTCCAAGCACAGTTGTTGATCCTGTTCACTCACTGGCTACAACAATCAGAAGATGAGAGGTCAGCAATTATCTCGTCCTAAAACCATAGTTGGCCCTATTCACTTACTGACTACAACACTCATCGAACCGGGGGTCAGCAATTGCTTTGTCACGAAACCGTGGTTGATCTTGTTCACTTACAATCTACAACACTCGGCAAGCCGGAGGTTAGTAATCACCTTGTCTAGGAGCCGTTGCTGATCCTGTTCACTTACTG